CATCTCTGTCCACAAGGTGTGACTTTGATCCGATGTGAGCTCAGCTTAGCTTAGCGACTTTGTTCTAATTTGGGTTTAGGTTTTTTTCATATTTTTCCTTTTTGTTTTTTTTTGTGTGGTTTTTATTTCTGAGAAACTGTTGCCTTATTGTCTTTGCACAACGACGACTGTTTGAGTGCATTTTACATCCATACAGTGCGTTTCGTAACTATTGTGGGGATTTGAAAAGCTCCATAGCCTGACTTTTTTTTAAACCAGTCTTTTTACCAGCTTAAGAATGATTCACATTCATTCATTAATAATAATATATGCCAAGCTCTGCGGTTAAGTGACCTCATTTATGATAAGGAATTAAAAAGTTGACAAAGGAAGAGCCTCTATAAATTTCATTTCGAAAAGTCTTTTCTTGGGGTGCAAACCGAACTGTGAAATAGAATGTTGGATTTCATAAAGTATGGAATACAAAATTACTTTGGGCTAATGCCTTCTTATAAAAAGTGCGGGTTTATAGCTCTTTACAAGATTAAAACTATAAATAAAAACAATTAATCAAAAATCAAACCACAGGGGCTCATAAACCGTTTCAATTTGCTTTGTTGCTTGATTTAAGAGATGCCAAAAAAATAATTCCAAGGTTCATAAATAATTAATAATTTCCTGGAAACTAGTTTTGTTTTTGTACACAGAAAATACTTTTTGAGTAGAATTTATTTCATTAATGCTAAATATGTGATTGATGTTTTTGAACAATCATTTTCCTTTGTGTAATTCCAAACCTCGACTGTATGTGTATTGTCATAGAAATGTCTAGGTCCGAGTGCACCAATCTCGACAGCTGACGGAGGCAACAGGTTTAAGTCTGCGGTGACGCAGATGGGATTGGCTTTCATGGATCCGAATCTCCCCTCTTCTCCATTCAAGCATTGTAGATTCTTTGCTGTCCCTCTCTCTGAACACGATTTGCAATTAGCCAAAAGAATACATTCAGATTCAGTTGGGTTGTATAACGATAATTAGCAGTACAGCGACAGCTGGAATTTGTATGCACATTATATATTTTATACTCGAGGGATTTGAGAGGAGGAAAAACCCAATGATGTTGATGCCAACACGACGGACAAAGTTCAATTTGCAACTCATTTGTCAATTCCGATTATATACTTACAGCTCCCTTAAACGCTTAAAAACGGCGCCGACCACAACAATGCCTTATCAGCCAGCCAACAGCGGCGGGACATCTGGCGGCAGCAAGGCAGCGACCAAAATGGCCCAGCTGAAGTTCTGGAACAAGCAGAATAGCAGCAAGCAGCAGCAGCAGGACAAGGAGAAGGACGCCGCCGATGGTGGCAACAGCATCAGTGGCAGCGGTACTGGCAACAACAGCAACGGTGATGCCAAAAGCGAGGCCAAGAGCGGCAAGCGCAACTGGCTGCACACGCCGGAGCAGCTCATCAGCGGACACGCGGTCTATCTAGTCAAGGTGAGCAAGGGACAACCCACCTGTGACGACCCCGATAGGCGGTACATTGAGAGAAAATATTACAAACTATTTCTTATTCGCCCAGAGTCCGAAATTAATCATTTCATTTACTTAATTTGTCGTTGAATATTATCCCCCAAAAAGTAGACTTTAAATTCTAAATTACACATCGTTGCGTATACGCATTGTCAAATGCAAACACTAATATCTTTCATACGCCCAGTTATCCTTGTTAGCAAAACAAAATGTTCTTTTTAACTTAAAATTAAAATGTTTCTCCTTAAAATGTTTAAAAACTGACAACTTATTGCAAACTATTAATAATTTTTAAAATAAAAAAAATTCTATCATGCTAACAGTCCTATTGGACCTTTTAGAAATAATAGCTATAGTAAAAATGGTAACTTATAACGCAAACAAAACTGACATAACTCTACAGAGGAATGCAATTGCATTGCCAGCTTTCAAAGCTGATCGTAAAATTTCTGAGAGTAAACTTTGTTTATTACTAAATTATTATATTATGACAAGCTTTTAGGTTAATAGGCAAATTCTTTTTAAATTACCAAATTAATTAAAAAATAGTTAAAACACCAGGTCTATAAATGTTTTTCCTGTAACCTTCCCATTAAAACATACACATTTTTTTCTCACTGTATCCCATTGTTTTCTCACTTTCAGTTCTTTGGTAACCTGAGCGTGGACCAGCCCAAGGGCATCGAGGTGGTCAAGGAGGCCATTCGGAAGCTGCAGTTCGCCCAGCAAATGAAGAAGGCGGAGACTGGCACCCAGGAGAAGTTCAAGAAGCTGGAGATCACCATAAGCATTAAGGGGGTGGCCATCCAGGAGCCGCGTACCCACAAGATCCTCCACCAGTTTCCGCTGTATAACATCTCATATTGTGCGGACGAGAAGGGTGTAAAGAAGTTCTTCAGTTTCATTGCCAAGTCGACAAAGACGAGGGACGGCAGTGACCCGGCGACAAATGGCCATGCGAACGGAAATGGCGATGGAAGTGGCAAAGCGGAGGAAAGCCACGAGTGCTTTGTCTTCATTTCAAACAAATTGGCCTCGGATATCACGCTGACTATTGGTCAGGCCTTCGATTTGGCCTACAGGTGGGTTAATTTGCGATTTTTATTTCAACTTTTAAGTTTAATTAACGCCATGACTCTCTTTTTATTGGCAGGAAGTACATGGATAGCACTGAAAAAACAAATTTAAGCAAGGCGCAGCAGCAGATTAATCATCTGCAACAAACCGTAAATGTTTATAAGGAGCGACTGCTCGAAGTTTCTGCCAAATTGCCAAAGGCCGAGTTGGACGCCCTGCTCTTTAATCTGGGCATTAAGGATATCCTGGAGGCACCTATCACAGAGCAACAGAATGGAATCGAGGTGGCCACCGAAGCCCTAAGCAACGGCAAGCTGGGTAGGATTATATTCTATTTCTTTTTGTTAATCAACTAATTCCTTAAATTTGTTTTTAGATGATGACAAGTTGCTGATTGACACCAACTCCACCACGGCATCGACCCATTCGGCGTCGCCCAGCTCTTTCTTGCCTATTGTCCCGCCGCGGAACAATCTAACCAGCCAGATTAGCATCGGTGGTAAGAGCAACAGCCAGAAGATGGATGAGCTGTTGCTGAACTCCGATTCTGATAGTGATTTCGATCCGCGAGCGGATGAGATTCAGGACAACGGGAGCAATGGCCGGAATGCGATCAGCAACGATTTGTTTGGATTTGAGCCGTCCAAGAGTTTTGGCCAGCAGCTGTTTGTTAACAACAACGATCATAAGCTACAGAATAACAACACCAACAACAGTAGCCTATTGATCACAAGCAACAATAACAGCATCAATAGCAGTGGCTTCTCCAGCGAGCTGAACATTACACCGCCATTGTGTATGTTTTATATATTTATATATATAGATTATTGTTTACTGATGTGTGATTTATATTTACAGTGGCGCCTCCGCCAAAGATTGCTGCGCCAAGGCGCCTACCCTCGGTGCCCACGGGCAACGGCCTAAATGGCAATACGGATCTATTTGGTTCAGATCCCTTTGAAATGAACAATGGACCGACCATTTTCAAGGTTAGTTTTGATTATTTTAAACTTTTATGAATAATACTAACTTATAATTAAATCTTTTTAGCAAAATCAGCTTAACCTTGACGACTTCTCGCTGGAGAGTTTGGATCCCCTGCGCAAGTAGAGCGGTGCTACCAAGGCCATTTTCACACTTCAACTTGATTGAAACTTTGGGACATTTTAAACGCGTGTCTCATCGATTATCCTTCTACGTTTCTCCGTTTCGCATGCATTCCAATCCAATTGCAATTTGATTTATTTAATGTGTATTATTGTTTATATATTGTATTGTATTTATTATCATTGATTTTTTGTCGATTTTATATTGCATATTATGATTTCTACTATTATTATTATAATTATAAATACGATTATTATCTGAGATCGAGATCAAAAGAACACAACAACAATCAACCGCAATGCACTTTGTTTAAATGTATCAATTTGTTGCTGTTAGTTAAATAGATTAATTGATTGTCGAGTAAAGCGAATGAAAAACTGTTAACAAGTGATAATGTGAAAAAATGCTAAACAATGCTAACTGAATGTGAGAATTTTGTATAAAATAATTATAAAGAAATAACCGGAAGCAAATGAATCGATTATTGTATGTATAGAGCCGAAGTACGAGGAGAATCAAAGCAAAATGAACAATATTTAATGTTATTGATGCAATATAGAGAAATATTATTATTACTATTATTATTGTGTATGTAAAGAATAAAATGTAGTGCCTAAAAGAAAAAAATCCCACGCTTGATCTTTAACAATTTGCATTATTTATTATGCATCCGTTTTTTTGTTTCGTTTTTTTTTCAAATAACAACACGATAACTACACGTTACTGCCATGAATACAAATTTGAGTTGCTTCTGTTGCTGCTGCAGTTTGGGAATGTTTGCCTAGGGCTAGTGATATATATCGAGATTTTCGTATCCAACAGTTGTTTCCTGAATCGTCCTGTTTCCTAAACCTGAGTAGCGGTCGCCAAAGCTCGTCCTTCAAGCGTCCTGGATAAAGTCACAGCGCTTTGGTATGCTGGCCGACAGCTGGCGTGCATTCATATCGGAGCTCTAGAAGATCAGAGAGTTTCGTGAGCTTTGTGGTTATTACCCTGTGTGACGAGAAATTAAAACCAAAGAACTGCAAACGCATCTGGCCCGGTTACTGTCTTATAAATTCTTTAAAAAACCATACAAATAACGCCAACGATTGGAAAAGTTCTGAAAGAAATCATCATTGGAGAGTTTATAAGTAAAGAAAGGGTTAACCAAAAGCAACAGAAATTACCATAAACTCTTAGTTTGGGAATAAACTGTTAAATGAGAAAATTAAAAAAATAGAGGAAATGTAGATGAAATTCGGTAGTTTTGTGGTTTTCAACAAATCAAATCAAACACAAACATAAATAGAAAAATCAATCATTTTTAGTGTATATTTTTTAGTTTATTTGTTTAAAACTTTCATAACTTAAGCAATATATTTAAATAGTGCGCTCAAAAAGATAAATGTATTTTGACATTGCATGCAGTTCGGGCTATAGCCTAAATAAAATCCACAAATTAAAGCTAATTTCGTAAAATGTTTCAAAACATATATTCACTTTAGAGTATAAATGTTTTTCGTGTATATATATAGGTATGTTTATATAAATATGTATCGAATTAAATTGCTACAAACGTAATCTTAAAGCCAAGGGCGCTGCGCCACTCGCTCCCCACAAAAATAAACTGAATAGAACTTCAGCCCGCTCCAAAGTGGGCAATGTGTGTGGAATGTCAAATGTTAAATGACAATATTTCAAAAGAATTACAATTTTCAAAAATCAATCGAGTTGGGGAGTTTTGGTGGGGCACATACAAACACAAGATGTATTTAACATTAACATTAAAACAATAAATAAACACTTTTCACTTGACTGGGTTGCGGATGCGGGATTTGGTTTGCTTGCTGGGATTGGGTTTGATTGAGTTGAATTCAATTAGTGCAGGGTGGCGCAAACTCTTTACACAGCCAGGCGGGTTCGTTTCATTTTTCATCTCATATATAATTTTGTGTATTTTTTGCTTTTTGGCATTTTCACACGTCTACTGGCTGACAGCGCTCGTCTTCTTCTTTTTAGCGTATTTTACCTGATTGGACCAGTCACCAGTGGGCACGGTGGCGCGATAGAACTTTGAGCTTGTCTTGTTAAAGATCGGCAGCAATTCGTTGGCCTCGTCAGACAGAGCCTGTAAAGCAATTATTATAGGTTAACGGGATCAAGTTGGAAACAAAAATAAACTATAACCCACCTTCAGATAGATAATCGCATCGGTGCCGAATCCTTCGCAGGAGAGCAGAACTATGTCACCATGGAAATAGCGAGCATAAAGCCTTGAGATCGGCAGACCATATCCATAGCCTGCTAAAGGCACTGTGTGCAGATCCGATTTCGAGGGCTGCGGTGCTGTGCTGTACATGTACTTGAAAAGCTGATCGGTCTGGGAGCGGGGAATGCCGCCACCCTGGTCAGAAATCTTCACGCAGATGTCCTCTTTACCCTTGCAAATGGCAACTTTTAACGGTGGCAATGTGTCATTGTTGTCATGGCCGTGATGCTCCACAACCGCTCGCATGGAGTTCTTAAAAAGCTCGAAAAGCATGTAGTATAGGTGCGAGGGCACGTACACTGTACGGATAGGCGGGTTATCACCAGGCTCGCTGCTGTGCTGCTGGATCTCCAGCGCCGGACTGGTCAGGTAGTACTGATCACATAGGAAGCGGGCATTCTCATAGGCATCGCGAACCACATCCGACAAATCACAGGCGGGATCCAGGCAACCAATGTGGCGACCACCCGCATGGGGATTTCCTCCAAAGAGCAGGGCTTTAAATAATTATATAATATAATCAGTACATATTATTTTTTGCTATATCGAAGGAATATTAACATACTGTGCTGATTGATCAACATTCGAATGCTGATCCTTGACATGTAGAGCCTGTCGAGAAAGTACTGAATAGAGCTCTCGGTGGGTGCATCCACCTGGCCACCCTCGTTCTCCTTCATTTCGATCACACCCTGAGCCATCGTTTGCACTACATCGTTGTGCCGATTCCTAATGAGATCTAAATCGGCCACAAATCTAAAACGTTTAAAATATATTAGTAAAAGTTGATAAATTTGAAATCTTACTTCTCACTTTTGCAGATTGTCGTGCGTGGGCTCGGCTTTCTCGTACACCAGCACATCCTCGAAACTCTTGACATACCAGGAGCTCACTTCGCTTACGGACCTAGTGTGCAACAGGTTATCGGGCAGAAGAGCAATCTCCTTCATGATATTTGCCAGTCGAACTGGGAGCTCCTTGCGCAGAAAAATATAGGATTTCTTTTCGCAGGCATTTTGACCTGTGAAATTTAAATAGAGATATTAATAGGACTCTAACCAGGTAACATTTTACGCATTTTCTTAATCGTTAGAATATTCTTAGTGTAATAAAATATCAACACGCAGCCAGTTTACTAATTTCTTAACCAGTTTGCTGGTTTAATAAGAAATAAGATTAAATTTAGTCGAAATCTTCCTATGTTGAACTAGTTTTATAAGCAACAGAGAGAAGAAAAACAAAGTTCTCCATAAAAGATAATGCCTATAGAACTTCGACTTCATTATCAGGCCTTAAAATAAACAATAAATTTCTTAAAACAGACCTAATGGGGTTGTTGAGCTATATTTTATTTATTTATTTGTATTAGTTATTTCTAAATGTTTGTCTGCTTTTCTAGATTATGTAAAAAATTTCCCTAGAAGGCTTATCAATGCAGCTCTCAGGCACTCAGCGATCATGAGCTCACGAGTGAAAACCTCATGGGGACGAACAATTTAGGTAGAATAAACAACCTCGTCGTACACAAAAGAAAACAATTCTGAAGCCCACATAAATTCAATTGGATTAATTATCAAGAGAGCCGAAAAAGTACTTGAGCTAAATACATATCTACATTTAGTGTGTATAGTATATGTCTGTATATGTTTTTTATTTTTTATTTTCTTCATAAACAAGCTAAGTTCAAAGCTCTTCGGGCAAATGTGAAATAAATCAACCGCAGAAAACTTTGCCCTCGTCAAGCTTTTGAAATTTGCCTTTGTGTTTGTCATTTTGTTGGTTATTTTGTATTTGCCTTTGATTCTCTTAGTGTGCGTGTTTGGCGTTTTTTTTTTTCTGTTTGTTTGCCGACAGTCAACAGTTTCGTAACAAAGAGAAAATCAAGAAATTGACATTCGAAGTGATAACGCTGGATCCCGCCTTATCAATGGGGCCTTGACCAGGCCGGCATAGACACGCCCCTTTTCTTTTCCCCAGCCAATTTTATTTTTCGCCAAAAATTAATGACGATAATAATCATTAGACGAACGAAAAATTCACCATGGTTAATTAAAATTCCAGACACAAAACGGAAAAAACAAAACTAGATACTATATATACGTGGCTATATTGGGTATATTAGACTGGAACCGCTTTATGAGTCAATTGTAACGAATTGGCCAAACAAAACAGAATCAATAAAACGAGTTATAAAGACTGGGAAAAAACACGGAAAGAGAGTCGATAACCTGATGCGAGCTTGTTTATAAGAACCTGCCAGAAAACGTTCGAAAATGCGATCAGATTTCTGAGTTCTAAGATATAGATATGGTGAAGAGTGTGGAGATAGAGCGCCCCTTCTGCCCCTCCCACAGAGAGAGGCCCCACTAGATGACCTCAAAACAAAGCTTTTAATGCTTTGTTTTTGTTTACTTGTTTGCCATTTTAGACCCTCTCTTCTCCCCTATCTCTCTCTCACTCTCTGCCTCTCTCTCTATATATATATGAGCTTGTTTTGATAGTAGTTGACGGAAAAAAAATAAATATAAAGAAACCTCCAGACTCGATCGGACTGTCAGCTTTATACATACAACGTCTGGCACTCCACAAAATGTAGACTTTGATGCATTGGCTCTTCGTCTGATAAGTCTCACCCTCGCTTTCATCGGTGATAAATTCGCAAAGGCGTTAAGTGTCTTAATCATAAGTGCTATATGCATTTAGATAATTGCCAAGTTATAAAAAAAGGAAGTTAAGCTGAGGGGGGTCTTGAGATTGGAAAAGTGTTACGCACATATGAAAAAGAAGAAGTCTTTAACTGAAAATGAGAAAACTGTTACATTTTTAAAGTTCAAATAACACTTAATCATAGCTTTAAATATTTTTACTAAAATAAGTTATTCGATGAGTAAATCATATGCGTAACCGCCTTATAAATAATTGTCAGAATTTAAAGCCTGTGTTTATATTTTACAATCAGAGAATGAATGCTTTAAGTTTGAATATACAAAATGGTTGCATAGAAATGTTATGTAACTACTAGTAGTTGTCTTGTAATTGGTGGAAAACTGTTGCGTGTACTACTTGTGAAATTGAAAACTTAACACAGCACGAATTCAATACTAGAGTGTAGAATGGAAAATGAGCTGCGGTTTCCATTCAATCCACATTATCAGCTTGAGCTATTCAATTGGCGATGTAGGGTAATTCAGTCGTCAATGGCGCATTAAATAATTTACAACGCATGGCACGCAATCAGCTGAGGGCGCTAAGAAATTGCATTTCTGCAAATGACTTTATATTATCCCCTGCACTGCTCCATGCAATTACATAAGAAAAGGGGGTAAATTATATGGTACAACGTCACAGCTGCAACCTCCTTTAAACCCAAAGACCATCCCCCTTTTTTTTCCCGTAAGACAGCTGGTCAAGAGCACGGCAATCAGCCTCATCTATTGCATCAGCCCCTACTTATTGGCATCTGATTTATGCTGAGAATTTCTCTGAAAGTCTTTCGAGTATGTATATTTGACTCACATTCGCCCTGTGACAAAAATACGGCGCGTGTGAATACGTCTTTATCATCATTGCCGGGGGCTCACTCTTTTTTCTTGGCCATTCGCGTTTCTGTTTTTTTATTTATTTCGGCTAAACTGTTGACGTCTGCTGTTTCTGCGTTACTTTCCTAAAGAGGTTCCAAAGTACAGATCCAATTTTGTGGGTGAAATGAGGTGACAGCATCCTGGACTTTGCCCGAAATGGTCACGGTGATCTGATCCATAAGTATACTTCCATTAAACAATATATACTTTCGAATTGTCAGACATTGCGTTTTCGATTTTTCCGCAAATAATTATTTTCTCTTCGTCGCAAAGGAAATTTGGCACATGATCAACCTGATCATCAATTCCAAATTGGACTCCCCTTATATATATATGATATTTTCCATTGATATAAAAACATGGCCTTCGAATATACTATACTATGAATTCCGCATAAACAATATAGGCAAAGTAGACGCCCTCGAAAATTACTATAGACTAGACTTTATAAATGAGGCCCGTCACAGAGTCGCGATTTTTAGAACTTTATTCCGATTTCTTACACATTTCTTAGTAGGCCGACGAAGCGCTAATCGATGGTTAACCTGAATCATCATATTCGAGTATAGTTGGGTGATAGATAATGTATATTAACAGTGTTCGAAAGCAATAACAAGGCACACTCCATAGATATAAACATAATTACTCCAAGTTTATGGACCCCCACAAACGCTAGAAAAACACAATTAAGCGCCGGGTACAGTTGAGGGCAAAACGAAAACGAAAACGAACCTTATCTACAGACCGACATCAAAGTTCAAGTATAGGCAGAGGCATATATTAGTTATTTATTTGGTCAGTTCGATGAGGGGTGGCGAATTGGGTGGCTATAAAAGCTTGTAAACTAATTCCACAGTTGTTTTCTACGTAGGTTCATAAATAAACCTCGATAGACTGCTTAAAAAAAGGTAAAACACCAATGTACCACCGGCCTTAAAAGGGATAGAAAGAAAACAGGCAACAAAGCCTGTTGTTTGGTTCTAAATTTAGATGATAATAGCTCAGCCTCCGGAGGCCAACCTTTTCCACTGTTCCTCCTGCTATTTTCCAGCCCAGCTACTTGGCCTGGCTTTTATTTCTGTTCACGTCAGTTGCCAGTTTTTCAACGAGAATGCCCTAGAAGTTTGCACTCAAGTCTGTGTTTTACACAGGGAAAAAAGGAATACTATAAAGATGATGTATGGAAATTTAAAGAGGGTTAAAATTACTTGTAATATATAGGACTTAGTTCTTAGGCATAATATCTTATATATTTATCTATTTCCATATCTTTTTAATAGGTTTTGAATTGGCTAACCCTTAAATAATGTATTAAACCTTCTATTAGGTACAATGTTTCTCTGCACACTCGTTTCGAGTGTTGCGTGCTTGGTTATTGGGGCAGGTTGATTCCCTGGATTTCTGGTTATGGAAAGGGGAGTGTGGATGTTCCTGACATTGAAACGTCATTGAAGGCCACGTGCCGGCTTTCGGCGCTCAATGAAGTGTGGGCGGAAAAGGCGGCATTCTCGCGCCCATCCTCATGTTTCATTGTCAAAACTTGTTTATGAATTCAAATGCAGTCATTTCATAAACAGGTTGACTTGTTCTAACTTCCGTTTCTGCAACAGGCGGTTGGCTGGGAAGCGGAATAAATAAAAAAGCATCGGGGGGTGGAGGAAAAGCCAAAGCTAAGCTGAATTGAACTGAGCATTCAATTGTTTATACTGCCAGTTTGTGTCTGCCTCTCTGTCTCGCTCACAGTTTTCAATTTGCTGGGCACAAAAAATAAATGTAAATGCAAATGCTTAATTGACAATTCAATGAAACGAAATTGGCTATTAGATAACGGGAAATTTTGCGCAGTTTGGCTGTTTAGAGAGATCAAGTTTCTTTTCAATTTAAAGGAAATTTTAGACGAATTGAAAAATATAATTTTCCTACACTACGAATTTTTCAACCGTATCATTTTTCTAGGTCATCACAAGTTATGCAATATGGGCTTATTATAAGTTGTAGTAGCTAATATGAAAAATTATATAAAAATTAATAATTCCTCTATTTAAAAAAAACTTTGAAGATCAATCAGGAATGGAAGAAAAAGGTTTTACCTTACGCTTTACATTTAAATATGTATAATCTTAAAAAAAGGTAAGGTAAAATATTCCACAGCACTTATTAGATTAAATTATAATCTCTTAGCTCTTTAAGTTTTTGATTTCTATGATTACTCAACAGCTTTTTGATAAGATCGTTGAAATATTAAGCAACTTGGGTTCAAGAACCCATCCCCAAGAAAGTAATTAATTAGTGCATTACTCACCAAAGTCCATAAACTGCTTTATCGAGAGGGGCGACGGATTGAAGCCGGAGTAAAAGTCGAGCATTTTAGCCAAACTCGACATCGAAGAAGAGGCGGCAGCGAATCGTACTGGAAACAGGCGCATTTTGTTTGCTTTTCTTGTGTTTTTCTGGTTCGCGGGGGGATTACGTTGCTGATTACGTTTTGCCGGTTGCTGTGTTGGCTTTATCTTTTAACAACTTTGTTTGCCACTTAATATTTAGTTAAAATTATTTCGCGGCGAAGAAGAAGAAGAGTCTGCCGGTGTCCTTTCGCTCACCTTCGTTTTTAGTGCGCTCTCTATCTATCTCTCTCTCTTCGCAGGACGTTGACCGCGCTCTCACTTTCCTTTGAAAAAGATGGAGAGGAGGTTGAGAAGGAGGTGAAAACAGCGGTAGAAACAGCTGGCAACGTCTTGAAAAACTTGAAAACTCTGGCAGTGTGCTCAGTAAATCAATGGAGCGTTCTTAGTTTTAACCAATACAAAAGTGGTAGCAAAAATATATACATAAATTATATGATATTTTTGTATTTTTTTTTCGTGTTAGCTCTGCTCCTTGTTGTTGTTTTTGTGATGAAAGGCGGGGGCGACAGGGCGCTGATTCTTCCTCTTCTCTTGGTGCGCCATAAACGTAGCTGATTTGTACGGTATTTTGCTGTGCTTTGTGCTCTTTTTGTCTCGCGATTTCAGCTGCAGTTCTTCATGCGATAAATTTATTCACGCAGTTAATTGTTATTGCGCGACTTCGACGCGAACGGTTGTGAATTCGGATTGAGAATGCGACTCCAGAAGGCGCTCTGGATTCTCCAATGTTCGAGAGAACGCCGATTTTACCTGATTTTATACCGCTCGCAGCTTTTTGCCATTCTCACGGAAGAGAAAAGCTTTAAGCGTAGGCGTAAGATAAAGTGTTGGAAAGCATTCAAATTGTTTAAAGATCCGGCAGCGCTACGCATGTCTTTCTAATGTGTGGCAGCATCGGTACTAACGAATATTTAAAATAAATTTAGTATATTATATATATGAAATCTATAATGAAATTTACTTTTGGTTATAAAAGTAGATTATTGGAAATTTTTAATTAGAATAATTAATGTTGATCGACTAGCATTAATTAATACCAAACATCGAGGAAATAATCATATCCCATTAATTATAAAAAAAAATTCGCTCCTCAAGACCAATTGACTAAAACAATAAGCCAGTTATAAATGGCGTTCATTTCTAACAAACTAAATGTATTTTAATAATTACAATTTTATAAACTACGCCCGAATGCGATTGTTTTTAAATAAAAATATACAACAGATTACATAGAAATCCCAAATTTGACACACGGCTTTGTTGTCTTCCTTTTTGACCTAACAGAATGGTACATAATAATGTAATGCAAGTGACTTAATATAAATGATAGAATTTTGTAGGATGCAGGAAATGTGTTCAGCAAATAGTGCCTCCGTTCTAATCAGCCGGCTGGCTCGCGCACACACGGAATGAAATGCAGCAAAGTATATGGTTGGTATTTGCTTTGGAATACATGTTTAAAACCAGACGTCGACCCAACGTCTCCGCCTCCCTTTCCGTCCTGGCAAAATCCGCAAAAATCCTTCACTCCGGAGCCGCAGGCGTTGATTCCTTGCTATCAACAACAACATCTATTCCAGAGAGTCCCTGATAGGTAGTATCTCAGTTCTTCACAGAAAACAGTTGGGCAATTTTGGAAGCGTGACACTTGAAGAACTCATAGCCCACTTTGGCCGCGCTCTTCAGCGTTCCCGTGTTATTGTGATTGCCGGACGAGGTAGCTGCTACGGTAGTGGTTGTGGTGGACACAGGGAGTTCCCCAGCTGAGGTGGTTGCCGACACTGTTGGCTGGTGGGTTCCTCCACCTACCAGACTGTGCGGGAACATGCGTCGCAGCACATGGTTAAATCCATTTGATGCCTTATTGCCATTGGACTTAAAACGTTCGATTCCGAAGGCACGGATGGCCCGCGAGAATCCAAACACCTGGGAGCTGATGTAGGCTCTTCGCACTGCCAGGGTGCTACCGTCCGTCTGCTCGCTGTAGATAACGATTTCATCGACTTTCTGTAAAAGAAAATAAAAAAATATGAATATTACTATATACTATAATAACAAATAATAGAGGCTATACAAGCAGATGCAAGCTTTAATTGATATAATTCCCATCTTGAGGTAGTAAGGTATGATAATAACTAACCTAAACTCGTTTTACCTGATATTTATTTATAACTAAACAACAAAATTGCATTTTTCTTTCTTATGAGGACTAGTCAACTAAATCAACTTTTATTCTTGCCCAGAATCAATAGAATTATTCTTTTAGCTCAAACATAACCTGACTGCCATGTTTATATCAACTTTGCTCACACAATATAAGGCCGCAATAAAAACAATTGTCCAATGCGAAATAATCTTATCAAAAATTTCTTATCTACACATTTAGGGGGTTGGTAAATTGTCTATTAAGTTTCAGCCTTGAAACCATGGCAAATCTTAGCAGGTAGGTGACCTAGCTTCTTGGAACTTGAGATTACTTTTTGGGTCATGTTTGTACAAAGCGAAATTCTCAAATGATTCAGGAATGATTACTATAAAATCATTAGGTAATAATCGAAGTAATTTAAGATCTTATTTTAAATGGCCTACTCTACAATAATATAAACAATTACAATATATCCTAACAGTTAAACAATCACTTGCCATTATCTTGGTCATCCCCAGATTCCTGGTGAATGTGGTGAAGGTTTTCTTGACCGGGTCCAGCACGGAGTCCTCAACAATCTTGACCGGCACATTGTTGTAGAAGCGAGCTCCCCACTTGGGCACAGGATTGGTTTTGGATAGGAGGCGGCGGGAGAAGAGTTTCCCATCGCGCACCTCCCTCTGAATAGTGTCCTCAGTGAGGACGTGAGAGCTGGAGGGATTAGGGTAGCGGTTCCAGTAGGCGACCACCACATTCTTCCAGCTGTAATCGAAGACTGTCTCAGTGCGACAAGTTGATGCTGCAACGACCATTTTGAAGGTTGACCAATGAACTCGCAAACTAGTCTAAAAGTGAAAGCCGTAGTGTCCCTGAGCTGAAAAGTGAACCAATAATCAATTGCAATCGCATGTTCCCGGCTAAAAATAAACTATTAAATCAATAGACATACCTTCGCAAAGAGGGGATGCGAATTTTTAGGAATCTTACGGGCGTCTAGTGCTCCAATGTGCAGTGGGGATGGCACCAATTGGCTAATACACGTAGATTCAGCTAGAAGCGTGTTTATTGCCCCGATTTAAGGCGCCTACTGAGAATTTTTGTTGTGTAACTGCGTCACAAACTCCGGCACAGGGTGCCTCGAGTTCGCTTCCTCCGATTTCTGGCTATACGCTGGTGATGTCCGTCTATTCCTTCGTAACCGCGTCCTTCAGTGCCCCCTTCTTCTGGCTGTACACAGTTTCATTGCACGGGTCCTACGGGTTTTAAGCCAATTCGGGTCCAATTTTACGCCTGTTCAAAGGCCATCCGGAAACATCTGCTCGTAGTGTAGCCAGATTGTACAAATAAAAATAATACCAAAGAATGCAAATTCGTAATAAATTGCAAATTTGGTATTTTTTGTAATGGCTAAGAATTCAAAAAGTGGCGGGAAATATTCGGATGCTTGGAAATGTTAAATTAATATTTATTTCATTTTGTATTAAACTATCTTTTTGAGAAATTATTGAGTAATTTTACATTAGGAAATTTCGTTTGATTAAAAAAGTAATACATTACATAAGTAACATTTAAAAACTAAGCAATTTGTTTGCTCCAAATTTATAATTATTAAGAAATGCTCTTTTCCGAACTTATTTAACTCAAATTGACTTAAAATATATGTTTTAAACACACAAATCGTTTCCATAGTAATTATGGATTTGTATATATACCCGACCACAGTGTTATTCCCGCGTTGTGCTTAGAAACCAAAAAAAACAAAGGAAAAGTCGGAAGTAACTTAATAGTTTTTACAGACAAGAATTCTCAAATCATGGATGTAGTGGAATTTCTCAATCGAACCGATCGTCGCAATCTCAAATCCCAAATAGGATTCCAGGTGGCTCGAAAGATGCGCGAATGGTATGAGGATGTAGATAATCGACGATGGAATCTTAGTCTCTTACTGCAAAAAGAGGCCTTGGATGCGGATGAGAAGATTGCAGAGATGCTCCAAGAGCAAGCAGATGAGGCGGATCGAAGGCGACACGAGTGGATCGAAATGGAGCGACTGAAACGAGAGGAGGCGGAAAAGGAACTGGTCAAAGTCAAGAACCAGCAGAGGGAAATGTATGAATTCTAAAATTAATTTCATTAATAATTATATTATTTTAAGTGAAAACTCCGAGGCCCATCGTCATATGCTGACCAAGGAGATCCTCTTGGAAACCAAACAAGCTCAACTCCATCAAATCGAGGAGAAAAAGGCTCTTAAACGTCGACAAGCCTGTGTAGAAGTCCTTTGGCAGCGAGTGTGGCAGCGTTTGGATGAAAGTAAAGCGCAACAGGAGAAATATGAGTTGCAGCTAAGGAACTTGATAGAGAATAGGTGCCAGGCTCAAAATCTGGAGAACGATCGGGAGCAGAAGGCCCAGTTTGCCAAGGAGGTGTTCGCAGAGAAACGGCAATGTTCCCAGGCGTAAGTAGTTGAAAAATATTAAAAAATACAAAAGCTTTTAACAAATAAAGTGATTCTATTTTACTCTTATACCTTGCTTAGCTTGGAAATCGCTGCTGAAATGGATGTCGTGAAGAAACAACAGGACCTCAAGAAAGTAAAAGACAAACGCCGCCAGCAGCTCACTGACTTGCAGGATCAGATCAAACAGAATTTGGTGATCACCGCCAAACAAGCGCAGGCCAACATTCGTGAAGATTTGGGGTACAATATACTTGAAGATCGGCAGATTTATGAAGAACTCATGGCGAAGCGATGTGCCAGGGTAAAATGAAATCACCATTACTAACTTTGCTTTTAATCCGACCTCCTTTGTTTTGCTCCAGACTCACAATCGTGATTGGCACCAGCAGTATATGACACATACGGCAGCGGAGCGTGCTGCCCGTAAGGATGAAGATCTCCAAAGAGATCGGAAATACCTGGGCACTGGGTGTGTGCTCAGCCAGCAGCAGAAGCAACCATATGGTAAGGAAGTGCGTTAAAACAAGTGGACTCATCATCACCATCGATCGATGGCTGCACTCATGTCACGGCTCATATTTGGATACCCATATTGCAATTATATTTATGACTGATATAAATCAGACGATGGCCAGCGATAAGGAAAACCGTATCACGCACGGCGGGCATAAAGCCCGTGATAATGCCCACCATCAACGTCACCCATGGAAGCTGACCAGCTTGGCCAGCCGCCAGCCGCCAGCGGGCAAATATGCAAATGCAAAATGCCAGTACAGTCAAGCTTTGGTAACTCGAACAACCTTTTTTCAAAGTTACAAGTTACAAAATTTATAGAACTTATACTAACCATAAACCAAACTCCTTATTGATATTTCTTATAGCTAACATTTCTAGATTTATACCATTAAATTAAATTATTAATAATTTAAATACTTTAAGTTTTAAAAAAGATCTTAAAAACTACTTTTAATTTTCCATGTCGAAAATGGCCCTAATATTTTTTTTTTTTTTTTTTTTTTAAATTTTTTATTTATTGATATCGCCGGAATCGTTCAATGCCAGTTGAACTCTACCGGACGGGTAGAATGGAGTGGGATATGGCCCTAATAGATTTTGTATAAAGTATAAAAAGAGAAACCCAAATTGTTGCATACTTTCAGGCAGAAAATTAAGGATTTCAAGTCCTGTAAAGATATTAAAACAGACAATTTGAGTTTTATAAAATAACTTTACAAAAATATTGATATGAGGTTTAAGTTTAAGAAGTCGGACTGTACCATCGATAAAGCGTGTAAGTGTGCCTCAAGCAGCAGCTTTGACAATATTTCTGACACTTGGACAGGACATAAGACTTGGGGACCGCCACCACCCCCTTTCCCACCCCCTGGTTTCATGGAGTATTTATAATTGACCGCTTCCGCCGTTGGCAGCGCTTGTCTCCTCAACTGGTTGCCGCTAATTAGAGTTGATCGGTGACCATGTCGCCGGCAGCAGCTGCGATTGTTGCACGTTCCACGTTGCAACTGCTGCTGATGCACTCTCAAAATGTAAACACACTAACCGCTGTGTTTATTCAATTAAAAAGAGTGCGGGGAGGAGATTTTGGCGAGGAGCGCAGAGGCTAGCAAATTGCCACAGCAATTTCCATGGCAATGTATTTAGCCAAATGGCCAACAACGGATCATTTGGCTGATGGAGCACTTGTAGTTGAATATTTGCCCACAGTTGATAAGCAATTTCAGCGGGATTAGTGGCCCATCGAGGTAATCTGTGCTCATCCACTCTTGGCATACATGGAATGTTTGTTTATAATAACCATGGGATCATGTTTACAGTCCAAACAAACATCTGAAGTATTTTGTAAAATGCACTGGGGAAAATGGCCTAGAACAGTAAATAAGAGGTTTTGGTTTGCTGGATTAGGACAAGCTCTATTTGTAGATCCCTTTTAGTAGTTCTGTCGGAAAAGGCTAAGAAAATCAAATAAGAAAAAATTTACTAGTCTTGGTTTTGGTTTATTAGCTCATCATTAGATATTTATCGCTTAAAATTTGAAAAATTTCGGGAATGACTTTAAATAATATATTAACTGAGTAATACTAATGAGAAATATTTTATCTGAAATATTTAAATGACTTCTTAACAAAGAAACATTATTCAGATGTAAAATATTCGTTCGTTAACATTCATTACTAGTTTGGAATTTTGCTTTCTGATAAAGTTCATTTTAATTTCTAAGTGTACTTTTAATTAAAATGATTAATTTGGCTTACTGGTTGCAAAAATGAAAAGGATTGAATAAAACCAGATTCAATTAATCAACAAATTTGTGTCTCAAGACATAAGATGATATCATCATCTTCAAAGATATTTTTATAAAATATTTATTCTTTCATTAAGGCACATTAACTTTAAGAACGTGTTCTTGAAGTTTCATTTTTTCCCACTGTTTCCAATGCATAGGTAAGTAGCCACCACCCTCCCTTCGGGTAGCCTGTCCAGTTGCATAACACGATCCCATGCATCACGCAGTTGCGACTTCAGATTCAGCCAAGCCTGAGAACCAAGTGAACCGTAGGAAACCTGGAAAGGCTAGGCGGCGCATTTTCAAAGCGAGGTGTCAAAGTCGGCTCAGACTTTGCTTTAGACCGGCAAAATGTCCTCCTGCTGGGATTCCTCACGGCATGTCATTAGCTACGAAAGGGGTGGCTGCTTATGTAATTTATGTGACACTTACAATCGTGACAACGTTTGCCAAATGCACCAAAAGGGAAAATGCATTCAAATGGAAATATCTCAAGAACAATGCTGCAACATTAGTTAACAGGCAACAACATCGACATACATAGAAGTACAAAATAATAGGGAGGTGTTGCCCAAGTAACGAGTATTCTCTAATATCCGCATAAATCTGATTCCCTTTGGACACGCCCCTCTTGGCTAAACTTAACTTCAGTTTTATCTCGAGATCTTCAAGATTTATCGATTCTAGCTTGGGGCCTCGAAGCTCGACTTGTACTCATTAATAAGCGTTTAGAGCCAACGCTAATTGCCAACGCCTACAGGAGCTGGTCTAGAAAAAGAAAAGGGAAAAAGCAAGACAGCAAGTTGGCCAAATAATTGTCAATGTGGGCGTGCGTGCAGGACATGTTGGGACGATCCATGGCCCATGGCCCTCCTATTGTGAGGTTGCACACGTTGCAAGTACACATACCCATAACCATTGGAAAATCGGGACAAAAGGCTGCGGTCAAGCACTGATTGAAATGCCCACGCCTGCCCACGTCCTGTGATTCTATATACTGTAGAGACCTCCTGCCAACCACCTCCTACCCCGCCTCCTTTTATCCCTATCGTGCTGTACGTGCCGAACAAATTTAACGCCTAGATTCCAGGTATGAATTGTTGGCTCTGCCCGCCGGCGACGCGGCAAAATAATGTTGCACCCAATGCAGAGAGCAGTTCAAACAAGTGGGATAAATGTAATAAGGGATCGAGACTTTTAGTACCCTTTTGTTAAGGATAACAGAAAGAAATAATAAAAAAAACTTTTTGAGGTCTGGATATCTAGTAACTGCTGAATACTTATTTAATCAGATTTGAGGGTTAATAAAGTGATCAAGTTATGCCTGGTTCATTATCAGAAAAAAGAGGTTGAGAAACACACAGAAAACACATGTTAAGCCATAATTTAGTCAACATCTTAAAAGTTTAGACAGGAAATCTTTGGCATTTGGCATTTTAAACTTACTAAATAGGAAACAAGTTTCTGGACAAACCTAGCCACAAAATCTCCAAAAAACATTTGACTTTATTAAAATTTTATGAGTGTCATAATATCTGAATAATATCACAATAATGTCATAATATACCAAATCCCCAATTGGTCACAGTTTTCATAAGTATTTGATTGACAACTACGACAATTTCCCTTATCAGGCATTTTATATAAATGTACGCATTTTATTTATAAATAAACGCAATAATTTCATAAAACAAACATGAGTTACTAAGAGTTTATCAGTCATGTTTCCCAAAAATATGTCATTGTCATAAGTTAAGTTATTTGGTAATAAATTGTATTGTCATAAAGCTATACAATTATGAGTAAATTTGTCATAAATTCTAGTTAGCAGGGTATCAAGCTATCACTTCCTCTCTTTTCCCTAATAAAAAAGGGGCGGTTTATCTTTTTTGTTCCATGGTATTGTTGCAATTTTCATGCCTCGAAATGAATTTCGCGCCTGAAATTTGCTTGGCAATTTTCATTACCTTCCCGACTGTCGAAAATTGCCAACCCGCTGGCAATTGTCATAGGCGAAAAACTATGGCCAAACCCCTCCCTTTACCCTCGCTGACCGGTTTAATATTTGTGCATCTGCTTTCTTCAGTATACTGTATCTATTCCCATAGAGATTTCGACATAAACTTGAAGCGATTGACAGACACGCGTAGAACCCGAATCTTTCCCCACATCAGAATCACAAAAAAAAAAAAAAAACAACAACAAAGTGAAATTGACAGCAGATGCGGGCAATTGAAAATTGGGGAAATTTGGGGGGAAAGAAATGGGGAGAAATGCAATTATGTGATAAAAGCGAAATAAAAAATTGTGTTAATTGTTAAAAAGGCTTGCATCGAAATTCGGTACGATCCACTCCACCGAATGTTTGTCTTTCGATCTTTTTACGGCCGCATCAATCTTTTTTGTTTTATACGTCCGAGTGGCCGCCTGAGTGCTGATAGCCGGAATGGCGTTCACTGTACAGTAATAACAACTCCACTGCGAAGTGAGTGAGTGGCACTTGGCTGTCTCTACGCCTGATTGAGTGATGCATCATCCGATGGCTCCTGGTCTCTTTTTTCTCCTATTCCTGTTCATCTTGCTGAGTGGCCAAGGCAATAAATTCGTTTAATATGCAAATCAAATGCAAATTGATCTGGTGTTTCGGGTGGTTATCGAGGGGGAGAGAGAGGGGGTAAGGTGCCACAGACTAATTAAAAATCACAAATTGGTCTGCTGACTTTGCGCCAATTGCTAATTAGCCATAGATCAGAGATCTCTCAGCATGGCCAGTGTCCATAAGACAGGTTTCGATATCTGGCCAAGTCTCCTCGAAAAACTAATGGCTAGCAAGTGTGGTATATCTATAAAAAAAAAATCAAAAAAAAAAAACAACCAAAGCCAGCTGGCAATAGTTTGGGGTTATTAATCTCCGCTGTCAAGGACATTTCCTTGTGTAATTTGATTTAAATTGCTTGTTTTGCTCACATAATTTCGTCATTTTTTACACTGATCAAATCAATTGATTTGCATTGCTGCGAACGGCCAAAAGCAAGCCATTAATCGCTATAGCCGCCGATTTCAACATTTACAAGAAAACTTGATTTGGGGAGTGTCCTCTTATGAATAATACGATATGTAGTTAGGTGTAAAGATTAAGACTTGGAATGTCAGCGATAAGAGTTGCATTGCAGACAAATTTCTCAATAGAGATCTTGGGAAATAAGTTGAACAGAATATAATTTAAGGGTAAAACACATAAAACTGAAATTTATTAAGTAAAATGCTTCACACATAGATAAATAGATACTCCTTAGCAGACATGGTCAAAGTTAAAACTAAGATAAAACTGAAATTTCGGCAGATAAGACATCTTAAAGCGAAAGTAGCTCAATGCGGTGGGGTTGAGGGGTTTGTAACCCCCATAAAGTCAAGGATCCAGCCTACCACATAGTAGATGTCTGCAAGAAAAAACATATTACTTTAGATATCCATAATCTTTATAGGATATATAAGAACCTACCACTATAATGGCATAGGTAAGACCAATACCAGATCCTGCCAAGACATCAGACCAATGGTGTTTGTAGTCGGAAACTCTGGAGAGAGCCGTGTACCAGGCGAACATGAGCAGCAGAAACTGTAGCAAATGACGCAGCATCCTCAAGCGATTCCAATGCATTCTACGTTGTAAATAGATCTGAAAAATATATCTCTTAGACGTGGTTTTAAACTTAATATGACTCAAACTTACCACCAAGTAGAGCATGGAAAAGCAAGCAAAACTTGCATGTCCACTGGGAAAGGACAGACGCATATCCTTTATTTGCTTTGAAGTTATATCAACCGCCGCACAGGTGAATTTTTCGATATAACGTCCAGCATTTATGGGATCACTGCAATTGGTGCCATCTATCATGATGGGTTGGCAGAGCTGTAACAATATTTATTACAACTATTCTATAAATTAAATAAGGTAACTCCTTAACTTACAGTGTAAAAGTGAGGCCTCAGTCGGCCAATAGAATACTTGGCTATATTTGTGGATAGCTGTTCTACGCCCAAGCCGAAGATAAAGATTCCTATTCTGTGATAGCATTCCAACAACCAAGTCGGCAACTCCAAGTGGCAAATGTGATAGCCACTACCGAAGCTATATTTCTGAAAAGGACTGTGCAAACGCTTGTCCTGGGCCCTAAAAAATTCGACTACAAGCATCTGAAACAGGTTTACCAATAAGTTATAGGATATATACTTATAAGATAATGCCTAACTTACCACAGAAAAAGGCAAAACGCCACACATCAAGTAGAGAACCCAACTGGGCATCGTGGACTCTTTATACGGATGTTTCAAAGAAGAATCATTGCAGAAGAATCCGCGGTTATAGGCTTCACCCCAAAGGGAAAATCCCAGCATAGGTAGACCAACTGAAAATGTATCGGAAAATTAGATTCCCATTGAAAAGGCTTATCATTTATGCCCCCTATTTTTATCTTCTGCAATTCGAACAGGGCTTTTTGGGTGGCCCAGAACTGCTACGCCATGGTGTCCAATTCATTTATAGGCAAGGTCTGCTGATCCAGCCTTAATTGGACTAGTATAAACACAACGATAACAACAATGACCATCACGATGATGATGATGAAGATGGTGGTGTTGGGGAAATGAGTTCAGTACAATCAAATGAAAAGTTCTCCCCCTCACAAAAAAGAACTTGCCACACAAATTGAATAAAATAAATCAGTACGAACTCGATGATGCGCGAATAAATATATATTTTTGTATAGTATCTCTTTTGGGGTTCGCTTGGCTGAAAAGTACTCGTAGTTGTTCGTTAATGAAACACTCGAAACGCACAACAAAAAGGCCACAAAGGAACCTAATACATAAACATGGGTGAAAACATTTTAAAGCAATTTGGAAATGTTTTTGTTTGAAAACAAGGCGGGAAAGAGGCGCTTGCCCACCTACGGTTGATCTATATACCACTGTATGATAATATATTTTTAGGGGGCCTTAGGTATATAGATAGCGGAACCCCCTGTGCTGCACACTTTCATATCTGGCTGATGGATTCAGAACTGAAACGAACTCATGACTGGCAAGTGCCAGAGATCAATTGCTGGCACATGATAACAGATCATAAAACGTGTGAAAGGCCGGCGGGGAAAGAGTGATAGTACTCTTTCCAAAGCTTAAAATCAGTCTGGAGTATCAATAAGCTTTAAGAAAAGCAGCTGATACAGCATCGTGATTTATTTCTGATTTTGATTAGAAGAGCTATTCTTAACGGTTGAGTGCCAGTGAAATGGGAACATTTTCAAATGGATTTTTTTTGGGATTAATCATTTTCAATTCTTGGCCATTTAATATAAGCGAGCTGTGGATGTTTTGTTTACAAACTTTTAAATAACAAAACTGTTCAAAGTTTATTGGGTTTTGACTAAATAATAAAAGAGTTTCTGTTTTAAATTGGAAGACGTCTGTATTAAAATAAAGGTAAGCAAAAAAACAAAAAAACAAAACAAACAAAAGGTAAAGTTTAAATTGGCAATGTAAATAAGCTCATAAATAAACAAACAAAACTCGAAAAGCGTGTTTAGCAAATATTTACAAATGTGTTAATATTAAAGGTAAGTGAAATTTATTCCGCTAAATATGTATAGCATTATGGAAATTTGGAGAATTCAAAACAAAAGTCACTTTGTCACTACAGTGATGCATGATATTCAATACACTATTTTTAGTTTTCAAAAGTAATATTAATAAGTATTTAGGCACTGAATCGTCACTCAGTTTATCTCAGTGTAACTTCCGTTTTATGCCCCAAAATGATTCACTGGCAATACGCCCTAGTTCCTGGGTATTATCTATTTAACTTTAAGTCTCTTACTCACCGCAGCTGAGCAAACAGAGGTCCATGAGAATCCTTCCGAAGATCTGCCGAGGACCACGTAATGGTGGCTTGTTGCCATTGGGGACCATGTACATTGCCGCATGGCCACCGGAGTTTCCAACGAAAGTTGGCAGCTGTAGGTCCAGTTTTACATTATTATTGTTGTTATGGTTGGCGGTTTGGTTTGAAGATGCAGCAGCGGCGGCCAAAATACTAGAAGCCGTCGGTGAAGAAGGCTCTTCGCTGCTGCTGCTCTGACTCTCAAATCTCTGAAGCGGCGTGGTATCAGACACACTGGCCGGACGCAGGGAACTCATCGTGGATGAAAAACGGGGATTTTCGATGGCTGCTTCTAATCTGATTAAGCTTAGTGGCGTTCCGAACGCAGTTTCAATTTATGGCGCTATTGCACCTGGATACCATTCTGGTGGTCATCTTATCGGCGAGCGGAGATGGGCGCACACAAATTGCTTGAATAATCCTCGGGAGTGGTTTTCTTTTAGAATGTGCTAATGGGCAAGGCACTGTGTGATAAGGCCTGCAGCGGTATGTAAATAAAGCCAACAAATCGATACTGTTTGTAGGTAAAAAGAAAAACACACGGCGTCGGCGTTTTGTAGGCGGTACGAAATGTTTTTGGGTAAGGTAAATGCGGTATTGCGCAAGTGATAAGCGATGAGCGATTGCGATCGACTAAGTCCAAGTCAAAATGTTGCTCAAATAATACTGCTGGCGACGCACAAAGGTAAATAATATGTGGTAAAAATCTCTGCACATTATTTGGAATGCATTTCAACGGAGCACTGCACTTAAATTTTTGTTTATTTTTGATTTTCTCACATCGAAGGTATATTTTCGTTCTTGCTCTAGTTCTTTTCGCACTTTTGGTTCTGCTTTTCTATTTGTTTCGCATGCGCAGCGCCTCTACGAAGAATGATGGAGACCCAAGAACCCAACCCGAACCCGAAACAACCAGCCGCACCGTTCAACGCCGCCCGATGAAGTGAGCGGTAAGTTTTAAGAGCAGAGCAGCGTTGTCCAAATATCTATAAACGAATGCCAAACAGCTGTGTTTCTCTCTCACTTTCCACTTAACTCTCTCTCATAAGCACTCTCTTCTGCGATCGCTAGTGCAAATGAAATAATGGAATAGAACTAGGAAAAAGATCACTGACTCCTTATGAATTCTAGTATATATGATACACATTTTAATATTATACTGGTAATTGGCTAAAAAATAAATTACAATTATGAGTCATGACAAATTTTTAAATTTATTATAGTACAGAAAACTTCTTGTATATGCCAAAAAGTAGGCAAAGCTTTTTAAAAGCTAATAACAGACTAAACAATTCTATTATTTTCTTTAAATTGAAGGAAAAATTATCACATATCATCTCAATTTTCTTAAGCATTATTAGCATTAAGCATTATTACCCAATCTGTAAAGCCAAAAACTTTTCATATATTACCGTTGTGCAGTCCTTTCTATGGTTCGATTCCATGTTCCCTCATTCCTTCATAGATAACAGAGCATTTGTTTTTGCTCTCTCCAAATAAAATTTCCTCTCTTCTCTGCCGACTGGACTGACATACAAGCAACGGCAATCTTATCTCCTCAGTCGACTTTTTTCTGCCAGCCCGTTCGGTTCGAATTTACCGTATCTCTCGTCCATAGAAACCAAAACAAAGTGCGAGTACGCGAATCCGTCGTACATATAGTATAACCCCTTAACCCATTCATATCGAATTGGATTAAAACATCTTAGAAAAACAAAAGTGTAACGATGACGGAGCAAACGAAGCTTGCCTAAAAAAGACTTTCGCAATGCTGCTATTTCGGTAAAAGGTAAATTAACTAAACAAAGATCTGTGTTTATTTGTACTAAAGCAGTGAGCTAATGGCTGTGGTTATATCTTAGCGATTTTATCGATTTGCTTGGCCGGCAAACAAAAAGTGTCTGTGAAGCCTCAGAAATTGATGGTCACATAAACAAATTGCGAAAAGTCGAGTGGCGAGTGTATTTGTGGAAAATTCATAAATTATGCAGGTGGAAAGGGAAATTGCGTGGGTGAATTTTGTTTGGCTTAAAATCGATTTTCCATCCAACAAATGGATTGTGTTCTTCCATGGTCAAGGTTGTTGTTGTTATTGTTGCAGAAATAAATTACTATATAGTTATCTGTTGAATCAAACCGTGGAGTTCGCGGAACAACATCACACCGATAGCTTATCAATTATTGAAACGCAAAAGGCTGCACATTTTGATGGGGCCATTCAACGGGAAAAGCAGCATTTGGCTTTTCATGGTTATTAAGCTTTATTGGTTGATCCCACTGTAGTGGCCCACGTTCAATATTGCCATTATCGGCGAGAGTTTTCCGCCATTTATATCCCATCCCGGAATTCTGGCATCTGGCCAAGTTACTTTGGTTCTTACAAGATGTTTCCGAGACGGTTATAAATACGTACGTATTAAATACTTTGCATTGCTTCTGCCACATTTAAGTCCATCAATCAAAAGCCAACTATTATTCAAAGAATTTTCGATGTTTTCCACAGTTTTTGGGGCGATTTGTAAACATTTTAATGCGAAATGTCTGAAGTTCTGTGTGTAAAACTTATTGTAAACTAAACTAGATTGAATATTTCGTAGGATTTTTTCAAATGCTGAATGCATTTTCATATATTTTTGGGAAAACTTTAAAAGTTTGTTTTTTAGTTAGGTATTTTTAAGTAATATATACTAGCAGCCTGTACTTTTGCTTCATAAGCTCCCTGCATTGCTTATTTGCCAACATATCTTACCAACTCGTATTGGATTTCGTTGTCAGGCGCGTGTAAAATGTTGGCCAAGTTCTGCTGATCTCAGCTGTAAATGAAAATGCTTTCAATAATAATCGTTAGCAAAGCAAATAAACAAGTATTTTACATTACACCGGTGGGTTTGTTGAACTTGAGACTCATGGGCAGCGTTACAGGTGTCGATTTACCTTCCTTCTCGCCGACAAGTTGTCTGCAAGGTGAGTGGCTCCCCTTGAAATCGAACCCCCCATTTGTATAACAAAAATTGGTTTTCCTTTTTTACAAAATAATAAGAAAAGAACTGGTACACTACTTTCCATATTCAAATCGAAATTCGATTTTGCGTGCACTTGTTGGCTTTTTAATGATCTTCGCCTGGCGCCTGTTGTTTATGTAAATTGTGAAACATTTCATTTACCGATATGCAAATAATTTTTTTTGAATTCAAAATTATTTTTCCATCTCGTGTGACCTTAATTCGCGTTGAGATATTCCGAAAATGACATTCGATTGGGGAGGGCTGCTCTGCTTGTGGTCGTTGCCCGACAAAAGTTAATCGTTGGAATCTGAAATTAAAATGATGAGGAGGAGGACTTGTTCGGAGGAGGGGGCCTTCAGCTGCTCTGAAATATCATGATTTTATAATTACTTGTAATACAGGGTTAAAGTGACACGTCCTGAGCCATGATAAACTTGTGAAATTAATGGGTTTGTGGTGTTCAGTTAAAAGATGACTTTAAGATTAACAAAATAATCTAAATATACAGTTTTCCTTAACGTATTCATTCTGCTGTTTACTGTTTATAATTAATTATTTGGAAGTGTATTAAAATATACAAAACTAAATTTAGTTGCTTCACCTGAAAGTAATATATCTTACTAAAGACTTCTTGCCAAATGCTACATAAATAAGATTGATCAGGCTAGAAAGTAAATTTAATTTATATTTATTTAAACAACCGCCTAAGGTATGTTGAAATTTTTTATAATAACTAAATTATTTCCCAATCAGAGTTGGTCATAAATCGTTAGTCACTCTTACGGCACCTTGTTTCTTTATCGCCTTTCACAGCCGAATGCTTGCGATAAGATAATGCTAAGATTTGCAGATATAGAAGCAAGATTAATCGTTCATTAATGGGGCAACATGTTCCACGCCCCTGCTACTTGCAGGCTATTCTTAGCTTGATTAATACGATTTTTATTTCCGGGAGCTGAGTTGACAATTAAAAAATAATCTCAGTGCAAGCAATCTCAAGTGCGTGGAAGCACGCTCTCCGATCCATGTTCGATAATATCGCGGTTTTATTTTCTTTTCTCTTTTTTTTATTTTTTAATTAAGATGCTGCATGCTGTTTTGTCATTCGTTAAAGGAGGGGCTTGAGGGTAGAAAAGAGGTAAAATACATTCATCAGGAGTATCTGAATCTTAGAGTCTAGACTCTAGAACAGAACCTCACAGAAGGCATAAAACGAACAAAAAGAGGAGTTGAGGATCGCTTGCTATCTATAAATAGTCGTTGCCTGATCGAATGCATTGGGCCCGGTTGCCTTGGCCTGGCCATAATCGGAACTGACAACTGCAATGCCCCCCTGATATTCTGATCTTTAAGTTCTTTGCTCTTTAAGCTTCAACGCGGGAAGGAAAATTGTTAAAGTTAAGTACGGACTGACGTTTGCCACTTCTTGAATTGTGGTTTTGTCAAATTAAGGCCTTGTTGGATTGGACCCCAAGCAGTTTGCAGGAAGAGCCGTACTTGGTCATTATAACGCCCAGTTGATGGTCAAGTTGATTGCACAAAATTATAGAAATTCAACAGGCTCTAGATGGGAAAACGGGAATGAGAGGAATTTATGCAGGGATAGATCTACAGTGGTACTTCTCTAGCTAGAATTTATATTGAATATTTTTTAAATAGGTTAATGGCTCGTATTATGAATGTTTTATCTTTTAAGCTTGTGTGTATTTAGTAAAAAATCTCAAACATTTTTAAGATCACTTAAAGCAGATATTGTTTATTATAGTTCAGGGTAGTGTCAGCACTTAAGCAAAATGTTATGATCAAAACATCAGATGTTTAACTGTAGCGTCGATGTCCATTTAAATGCCATTCAAGGGTAAAAATGGAAAGTTTATTGTCATTTGTTACGACGTCACTTAACCCGTTTGAGAGTCGTCATCTATTCAGAGTCACTTGAGTGCTAATAAATCATGAGATTCTCCAATCAGACATTTTACAATATTTAGCCAGCTTTATGATTCATGGAAAAGTAGCAGGGGGAGGAGTAAATCAAAACTACATCAAACTACGTCACAAGCTCTTTCTTTCTTACTAAAAATGAATAAATTTCTTTGTAAAGTTTGCAGTAAAATAATTAAATTTATTCTAAAATAAAGTCGTCACGTAGACTTAAAAGTGAAATTAATTATTAATTTAATTATTTATGTCGAAACAGTCCAAGACAATCTCTTAGGTTGACATTACAACAATACAATATTTTAAAATTTTTCTCTCTGTGCAGGGAATCCTCAACTTATTACTCACCCCGAGCATTATTCAACAATTTATTTTATTAATTTATCTCCTTTCAGAGAGTTAAGAGAAGAAAATATGACGTAAAACCGGAATTTGCATTTCCACCTAAGTAGTACAGTTGCTCTTAAGCTCAAGTTCACTGTCAGGCACCCAAAAGAGTAAGAGAAAGAGAGAGACGTCGGGCGAAAGCTTGAATCTCAAGCTTGGAGCTTTTGCAACGGCACCTAAAATAACGCGAGACGTGAATATAATAATATGAGTAACGAAACATCAGCCAGCGAGACAACACCGCTTCGGCGGCCGGAACATCAAAGCCAAGATAATAACGTGGCCCAAAATAACGGTCGGCAGACAACTTTAAACGTGGTCAACAGCACCCACAGTAGTAATAACAACAATAATAACTACGGTGATTCGGTGGAGGTGCGTTTGCAAGAGAGAGATAGTGATAACACACAAAACCAGCAACAACAACAAACTGACACCATGGATACCAACAAAAGAATTCTCTGCCGCGTGGGCTTGGATATTCTGATATTACTCTGTGGTAAGTTGAAAATTCCAATTGTAAACCCCCTTGGAAAACTACACCTGTTTACCTCGAAAACTCAATGCGAAATTTCAATCGCATCAAGTTATTTTATTTACCTTACACGCGGTGTTTATTTATTGTCGCAATGTTTATTATTTCTTTTGTATGCTTCCGTCTCACTCGCTCAGTGGATTTATGTAATTGAAAAAGCTCTGTCGCTCTCTTTCTTTTGCTCTCTTAGACTCTCTTAGAGGAATGGGGTTTTTGTTTTGGAATAAGATTTGCTTAAACCTTAACATAATCAGTTATATAGTAAGAAAAACCCTACTTATCGGCTTACTCAAGCCTTTATTTATATAGGTATTTTCCGGTTTTGTAATATATTCACTTTATTAGCTATTTGTCATCAAAAATATGCACAGTTGGAAATAATATTTAGTTTTAAATAATATTAAAAAAATATTAATATTGATAATATATATACCATCAGTTATTACAACTGTTTTAGGAATAAATCTTTAAAATTGCGGTTGTTAAGATTATAATTTCCAAAAATATTTGTTCTAATGACTTTCATTATAAATAGAGTTATTTTTGTTAAACTTTTATGATATTCAAAATTGTTGATTAGATTAGGTGAAATATTTCTCTCTGTAACGTTTTTCAGTTTCCTGCTGGCCTTACCTTTATTTTTATTTGCTGTGCAAACAAAAGCGGAGACAGTTAAATTGTGTCAGGTAAAGGTGGACAACCTGCATTGGCTGACTGTTGCATTCGATTGGGGGAGTTGCACAATTCACACAATCAGCGGTTTGTTTTCCTCCCATTGAATTTTATCAGCTTTTTTGCTGAGCAAACTACTATTAAATTGCAGAATCATTATCTGGAAAACAGTCTGTAGAATATATCTTTGAAAAGCATAAATAGATAATAATTCTGTTTTTCTAATATTTTTCGACCTTCAACACACATTACCCATTGTTATTTATTTTGGGAACATAGCTTGATAGTAGAGCTTTTTCCCCATTTTCGGTAGACACTCTTAATTTGAGAACGTTTATCTGGATTTTTCACCCTCGAATACTTTAAAAAAATTCACCGTCAATAGCTTGCATTGTGGCGGAACCGGTTTACCTGAGAATGTTCATTATTTAGCTTTGCTGATTAGCTTACCTTGATGACTCACCAATCAGCACCTTATTGTGACAGTGGCATTTTGTGAATTTTTGCAATTGGCACTACTGGAAAAACAATCTTGAGCCTCCATATTTGAACAACTGATATAAACACGTTGCTACCATAAGTAGCTGACCGTTCAGTTTTGCCAATCAGCCATAAACCTTCCACCCAGTTTATGGTGCAGATTGGTGCCATTTTCTGCTGGTTCGAAACCAACGGGACATTTACCTTTCCTTAGCATAAACGCATGACACATGATTTGGGCCAGGTAACAGACTTTCTTACTACAGTTGACTCACTTAAGGCGCCTCTTAAGATCCAGGTAGTAAACCTTAAATCCGAAATGAATCATCCGCAAAAGCTCTTTTATTAAATGTGGTAAAAAACATAAAAATCAGTTGAGAGAATATAAATAGATTAGTCCATAAAAACTAATCCACTTATTAAAAGATAAGGGGACGACAGTAATAAACTTTTGATGGAAGTAGACTAATCTAAAACTCGTGCCGTGCACACATGGTAAGTTCCCATAATCGAGAAAAAAGTTTCCATCGATTTGTCAACAGCATGTTTCTCCTTAAAATTTTTTTGAATGTATTAAAAACCTTAAAAAAAATATCGATCTGTTTCCCAAATAAATTCCAATTAGTTAAATCTGTTACAAAATGTCTTGGTGTTGTATCTAACAAAAGAATCGAAGACGGCATTCTGAGGGCCATTTAAAATTCTTGTTTTTAGTGGGCCGAGATTAGTTTTCCATTGATGTTGCATCTATCGGATGCATCTGATGGATCCAACTTTCCGCCGTGTGCGCTCGTCTGTCGACAACTAATTTTTGGGTGTAAATTACTTTTGACGCTAGGCAAACGCTGATAAAGTGATTTTTGGGGCCAAAGGGGGTGACGATGAGAGTGTCGGTGGCACTTAACCAAACAAATTCCTCGACCTACGAGGAAACCGCAACTTCAAAACCGAAACCTCCGGTTTGACGTTAATTGAATGCGAACGAGCTGCGGCACAGACTTTTTCTACGCTTGTCTGCTTCTTTTACCTTTCTCCTTGAGGTGGAGTCATTAAACCCATAAAATATATACAAGAAAATGAATATCAGAGGTCGTCCCCCAGATTTTTCACCCCGGCCTGCACTTCCCTGCACTCCAATAATTTATCGAGCGTGATTGCGTGTGCGTGTTGGCTTTTTGGGGGCGGGGATGGGGAGGGAAATTCTCCCATTCCATTTGCCCAAAAACTAAGTAGAAAGAACAATATTTATGCAATGCATTTTGGGCATGAGGCAATTGTTGGCTCATTGTTGTTGTTTACCTTCCACCCAACAACAAACATAGTTCAAAAAACAGATACAGATTGTGGCCACAATAGATGGAAAACGAAGATACATGGCCTGCCAAGATGGATGTTGATTTTTCATGTGTTTTTTGCGCTACAATTCCTGGGACAAAAGTAATGAACATTTAATTGCCAGCAACAGCTCATGACTCATGAGCTGTCAGGGGTCAAGGAAAGGTTCAATGTGGAATCAAAATCTTTACCTGCGCGACACCTTTTCAAATTTCTTCTGAGATTTCGTGATGCGGGTGATCTGGGAAGATTCCTGGTAATAATTTCTCGATTTCTTGGCAGCCATGAAATTGCCAAAACCCACATCAATAATTTTCATTTTTCTTAACGGTCTGAGTCTGATCTTCTTGTCTTTGTCCTTGGTCGATCAAATCAATTGAAGAGGTTCAAAGTTTGCCTTCTTTCCCAGTCATCCTTAATCTGTTCGAATGGCGGAGTTGTCTTTTAGTTCGTCTCTTGGCACTAATTGTCTTTAATTTGACTTCCGTCATGTCTAATTAATGCGGCAAGTGCAAGTCAGACGCTTTTAATTAGATGCTGCCCCGTATTTGAGGTCAGATTTCCTTCTTCTTCTTTGTGCCACACTGCAAATAGATACTTGGATAAGTAGAGATAACGTGCTAAAAGCAAACATTTGGTAACTTAAAAGGCCAACGAGCCGCACTGGCAGCATCTGAAAGATACAAAGATGCATCTTCAGCGTATGCCGGTGGCTTTTGGAGTCCGTAGAAATGGTTAACAGAAAGCGGCGGCAAAGTGGTGATCTTTTGAAGAAATCTGATTGCTGAGCGGGCTGAAGTGGGCGCGTTTACCTCTTTGTTTAACAAACAATTTGTTTATGTTGCCCTCTTCGCTGTTGGTTCAATTTAACTACACTTTTTTCGGAGCGAGCTGTCGGCGTCTTTATTATTAAAATGAACTTGACACCAAATGGACAGTGTTTTTGTTATGTTGCTATGAAAGTGCGGCATAGGTGCGTTACAATTCAGTTGAATGCAGTCCCCATTCGAAAAAATTAAATTAAACATTTCCGCCGAAGGTACAGCTCCCGTATAATAATTTTTAAACGGCTTATGTCACCCTCATAAAAAACCATACAAACCATACGCACAAAAATATAAATAATTTTGTTTTTCATCTGTCATTTACCACAGTTTTTCCCTTTTCAGTTCTATTCCCATTTTCCCATTTCACTTTATCAACGTGAAGTTCGAACTATATAGTTAATCTCTTACTTATGTAGATCAGGGTAAACCTATAGCCCCTAGACACTTTCAATTTCTATGCCGCAAAGTCATAAAAACATTTTAGAGCTACCGGGTGGTTTTCTAGGGGATTAAGGGTCTAGGGATTGGAGAAAAAGAGAGGACAATGGGCCACTTGCTGTTTGTAATATGACGCTAATCTCTGCCAGAATTCCATCTCTATAACTTTCCCAGCATCATCAGAAGCAGTCGGCGGCGATCGTTAAACATCGCCAGACAATGCCACTGATCTAGATTTTGTGACCTGATGCAGCAGCTGCAGGCTGAAGAAAGGAATCCATGGGGAGAGAGGTCTTACGATCCCAAGATGCGTCCATTGTGTCACCCACCTTTGTGGGACCTTAAAGATCAGCCTGGCAAAAAACTGCAATTAAACGACAGACAAGTCGCCACGGAGTGCTGGCCTTTATGCACTCCACTTCTATGTATATACATATATATATATATATCATAGCATATTTCTATCCTAATGAGCACTTCAGAACTCAGAACTTTCCCAATTCTCAACGCCTCGCTGACTCGGTCTAGTTCATTGACATCGAGAGTTCTTTTCCGCCTGCAGGTAGTATGGCCCATTGCAGAAAGGCAATTAGGCAAACTGGAGCGTTGCTAGCCAGGGCTAATGCAGTTTTAATTATCCACTAGATAAATGTTCTGTGCTGTAAAGCAAATAAAGAAGCCAGGGAAAGAATGTTGGGACAGGCAATCAATCAGCATGTACGCGTCACAATTCGTATAGGTTATTATTAATGGCAGCGAATTTGTAATTAGACAGGGCAAGAAGTCGCTGACAGATTTCCCTAGCCGGGTATTATTTTTATGAGCCCCAATTGAAATCCCGCACACGTTCGCTTGTCACTGGAAATCTTATCGCTAGCTTAGACATATCATAAGTCAATAGGGTTTCTCTGTCATTCCCATAGAAGATAATGCCACAGCACTTAGGGCCCTCGATGACCTACTAAGATGGGGGGCGGGTTGGTTGGGAATATATATTTATATTTATATTGATAAATGAGTGGTTTCTTTAATTTCTTTTTCTAATTTTTTTTTTCAGTTGGCTTTCCCATACTGCTGTTTTTCCTGCTAGGCGATCCCTATAAGCGGGGCTTCTTCTGCGATGACGAGTCGCTGAAGCATCCGTTCCATGACTCTACGGTCCGGAATTGGATGCTATACTTTATTGGAGCGGTGATACCAGTTGGCGTGGTAAGTGAATGGGGTGGGTGTACTTGATGGACAGCCAGAAATTGTGTCAAGCAGCTGTCAGATACTTGAGCAAAGATTGCGCAATCGCCTCAAGTTCAGTTGTGTCGGCACTATGGAGCTATGTTGTTGCAACATACCACATGCATGTTCCACTGTCCACATGTCGGCAATTAAAACTAGAGCAACATGTGTCTGTCCCTAATGGGCCTAGAAAAAAAGATATATTCGGCCCATTTCTGTTACTATAAATATTAGCATGTTCTGTCCTTAATGACTTCCAAAGAAAAGGGTTTAACGAGCTGCTAAATCACTAAACTCACTCCCATTTTCCCTGTTTTCTCACATCCCTACAGATACTCATCGTCGAGGTGATAATTTCACAGAACAAGGCCAAACAGGATAATGGCAATTCCAACAGTCGGAGGTATGTGTTTATGAACTACGATCTGCCGGACTGGCTGATCGAGTGTTACAAGAAGGTTGGCATCTATGCCTTTGGCGCTGTTGTCAGTCAGTTGACCACGGATATAGCAAAATATTCCATCGGCCGGCTGCGTCCCCATTTCATAGCGGTAAGTAGATATCTGCGTGTCCGTGGTTGGCAATTTCACAGCGGTATCCCCGTTCTGACATTGCCAATTAATTTTAATCTGCAACATGTGCAGCAAGACAGGCGACACTGACAGCGACAACGAAGACAAATCCAAAGTCGAAGTAGGAGACGGACTTGTTCTGGGGACAATGTCAAAACTCACACGATGTGGGGAAAGGTTATTAATAGTATTGGGCTAAAAGGCAGGGACTGATGGCAGTTTGTTGCAATGCATATAGAATACACTATCTAAGAAGGAATAGTACTTGAAATAATGGGATAAAATACAGAAGTTGTCACCTAATATTATATTTTAAAGATCTTTAAAGGGTATAAACAAAGTACTTAGATCCTGATCTAAACTTATGATGAAATTTAGAAACCATTTGAAACTCTTTTCAATTTGTTTATTTACAGCTTGTCAGGGTATTTGTGATTCCAATGAACCCCGAATTCCCCAGACCAGTTGGTTTGTTTATTTATGATATTTTGACTGGATGTCAGACAATTTCATAAATATTCGCGGCGGCAAGTGGCTTGTTAGCTTGTTATCGTGCGCTTCATTTGGGGAGATGGTATAGGGATCTGTATAGGGATTGGTATAGGGATCACTTTAGAAAGGGGAGCAGCAGCACAGAGCCGCCCTATTGTTTAGTGAAGTGCGGCAACCGGGTAGAAAATGCAATGCAACTGCAGCTGTTGGAATCATTTCCAGCAGCAACTCCTCTAATTTGAGGCACATGTAGCGTAGATCCCCAGTAGAGGCTCCACAATAATAAGACCTAAGAAGCTTAAGTCCAAGTCATCGCTTTTGCTCATACTACCTATACCTTCTTTTTTTCCTGCTGCTGCTCACAGGTGTGCCAGCCTGAGATGCCCGACGGCACCACCTGCGACGATCCCAGCAATATGGGCAAGTACATCCAGGATTTTAAATGCAAGGGAGTTGGTTCGTCGGCGCGCATGCTCAAAGAGATGCGACTTTCGTTCCCCAGCGGACACTCCAGCTTCACGTTCTTCGCCATGGTCTATCTGGCGGTAAGTCCATTGTTATAGTCACACGATCCGAGGCTTCATTGTTTCGCCTTCTATTTCCATTTGCAGCTGTACCTGCAGGCACGCATGACCTGGCGGGGCTCCAAGCTGCTGCGTCACCTTCTCCAGTTCCTCTTCATCATGGTGGCCTGGTACACAGCTCTAAGCCGTGTCTCGGACTACAAACATCACTGGTCAGATGTGCTGGCAGGATCGCTCATTGGCTCTATATGTGCCTTGGTTGTGGTAAGTAATATCTTCTTTAAATATCTCTTTACACTAGAGTTTCTACCATTTCTATTAATCCAAGCTCATTATTTGGAGTTAAACAATACTTTCTTAGAAAGCTAGCCACTTATTATCCCAATTTATGGTTAATGCATGCATCCCTCATCTCCACCCAACCTTGGTTTTAGGTCATTCTAGCTTTATTAGCCAGACATTCATATGCAACACTTCCATGATCTTTTTAGAGCTACGGTTTGCCCAAGAGTTGGTTCAATTTTCAAACAGTTTGGCCCGCCAAAAGCAAGGCTAACTAAGAGAGGGAAAGAAAGGAGCACAGAGACAGAATATCGGCTTATGACATTGTAAAGAAGATTAGCAATTAAAGCATCACAAATTCTGCATACCCCGACTATTCATTATTAACCTGGTGGTAGTGGCCATTAGCCTTAATTGAACTGCGGGATCCGTTCTCCAAATTGGCAGAACTCAACACCTAGCCATGGTGCCAGTGCCTGTGCCTGTGCCCGTTGCGTGTGGTGCCAATCAATGCCGCACATTGCTATCCGCAGCACGAAACCTTGTTTCCAGGTCGGGTTGACTTTTTCCACCCAGCTGGCCATGCAGCTGTCCAGTTGTAATTTCACGCTTCACTTGGGATAAGGGGGTATTTCTAAAGGGGAGACTCATCATATTGTAAACCGATTCAATTAAAGAGATATGAAGGGGGTAAGGAAACGCCGACGCATACTTTTAGGAGCATCTGTTTAATGTTGCAAGTGTGGCATTGTCATAGATAGTTATGCTACAAGGTTAGGAAACATACTTGAACTTTGTATATTTCCTTATAAGAACGCAGTTTTATGTAGTCATAGATAAGAAAAAAAGGAAAAAAAAGCTACTGCTATGTCGAGCTACATGCAATCATCTCTAAAAATATCGCAATCTTAGCCCAATCATTCCAAACTCATGGGTAAACCCCTTAGGAACAACCTTTATCGAATTTCCGGGCTAAATTGATAAGAAATATTTCTAAATTTTGTGTTATAAACTTCTAAATAAAACTATCAAAGTTTTAAAACAGCTAATATCTATAAGCGATAAAAAATTGAATTACATTTCACTTGTTAGAAATAAAATACGAAATATTCAGTTAAGAAAATATGAAACATGAAATTTATATTTATTAACTTTTCTTTTTCTACTTGCAGGCCAATTATGTCTCGGACTTATTTCAAAAGCCCAACACGAAGCCCTATTTGGCGCGTACAGTGCAAGACATGAATGCAGCACAGCCCCAGGGCATAACGATCACTTCAAACTAACACGCAGAAGGAGTGCTCTACAATAATTACAAATTCCACGAGTTGTAGCCGAGAAGCCGGATTCTTCAGCTCTACGGACTTTTGGATTTCTTTATCGGGCAGTAAAGCCAAGCTTTGCTGGGCCTCCTAATTAATTTAATTTATTCCTGTACTTGCATTTTATGAGCTCTGTGTGAGTGTGCCTGAGTGTGTGCGTGAGTTAGTTGCAAGTGCACCTAAGTGTCTTCTTTAAGTTTTTAGTTAGAGCAATTAATTATTGTACTATAGAGCAAAATTTTAAACAATGCAACAGTTTCCACAAAACAAGTGACCTTCAAAACAGAGCCGCACAAAATATGAAATGAAAGCAATAAGTATTATTTAAACTTAGACTTAAGCCTTGGATAAAAAAGATATTTAAACTATTTTTAAGATGACCATTAAATGTGTTTTAATTAAATTACGCTAAACATTTTCAATGCAAATAAAATAGAAAACAAAATGATAAACTTGGTATTAATTGTTTTTTAGATGATGTTTCATCATCTTAAACATCATCTAATAATAATAGTTAAGATTTTGAAACCAATAAACAACAAACATTTTAACTAAACAAGTACTTAGAAAACATGGAGATGCTTTTAATATATTAAATTAAATAAATCTGAGTTAAGTAACATAAAAATAACGGTTTTTTGAATGCAAGATTTTAAATCTTAGTAAAAAAGAATACCCCACATTTTTGGTATACTGCTAATATGGTCGGTATATATTGAACAAGGCTATTTGGTATTTTTAGTGCTTAAGCAACGGTCACGTTGAAATATTTGTACACAATAAAAACCGGCTCGTTTTTTCGCTGAAAAAGGTATAATACTTAAATTAAAATAGACAAAGGAATCAAATTGAGTAGTTTAAGGACGAAGAAAAAGTTCCATCTTTTAGAGAATGACATTTAACAGCAGAACTCTCAGATGTTATGGTTTCCGCCCTGCACACATGACGTGTCACTCGCCCACTTGATTCTAATCAATTAATACATGTATTTATCCATAGATTGTTTCCAAAATGATCACCGACGTGCAATTGGCTATCTTCTCCAATGTCTTGGGAGTATTTCTATTCCTGCTGGTAGTGGCCTATCATTATATTAATGCCAACACCGGAAAGTAAGTAATCTATAGGAAAGAAGAAGAGTTTAAACCATCAAATCAACAAAATTTAATTTCCATTTTATTTACAGGCCCAGCGGCAAGGCAAAATGATCTTCGATGTTTCCGCTAACAGACTAATATAGTTGTACCAGGATAATGATAATGCTGCTTCATTCGCAAAATAAATAGTTTTAAAAATCTAATCCAGGATATCGTTGATGGCATCTTTCATCGATTGGACATCATCGAGAGTTTCGCCAGATTTTTGATCTTTGCGAGTATAGAAAGTCCTATGCGTTTGATGGCCAAAACTAAAGGCCTTGATATAGGGCAAAGTTTTGGCTTCTACCGGCAGCTCGTCCACCTCCATGGAGTTGGATTTACTTTTGGGTTGATGCTTTTCCTTGGCTTTATTCTTGCCGTGATCGAAGCGATAGTTGGCCGGAAACTTGTGTACGGTAATACAGTGGTCCTTGCGTTGTCTGGGAGTGTGGAACTTGGTGGTGCACTCATCCAGAAAGCAGGAAAACATCGGCTTATCACCTCGATCCACGCTGGCGGCAAAATAACAATCATGCTGCTCGGTGATGTGCAAATCCAACAAATGGGCCGTGGGTAAAATCCTTCGACATTCCGCGCAGGTATAGGATTGCTCCTTATCACGGGGCTTTACCGCCTCATCCTGCTGCTCGCCCACGATTTCATCAATTTCCACGAGAACTCCTTGTTTTTTGAAAGGAGGCAGTCTTGGTGAGGGCGGTACCGTGGGCTTAATGAATCCCGCTGGCGTATCGTTTAATATACTAATAATTTGTTCCTTAGAGAGAAGCTCAGATGCCGCAACTTCCGATTCCATTTTGTTTTTGTGTCAACAAATTGTTTTGTTTTGGTTCTTACGTGTCTTTTAAGCTGTTCCCACTTGCTCGAGTCTCGGTAAAGTAATGTGAAAATTGCCCTCGTATAATGTTATAATAGAATAAGAATTTCATTATTCTGTGAACGACTTATTTTTATAATTCTTATTAAAGCAGGGAAACAATAAACCAAATTGTTTGAAAAAAATCAAATACTCAAATGTGGCGAGAACATTTCATTTTTAGTTTAAATATTGCCACATCGCCAGATTTAGAATATCTCTCAAAACAGGTGGTAACGCAGCGAAGCACATGTGAAGCTGAACTGGTTCCGCGGAAGAATCGGTTCTTTTTGGAATACGAAGCTGACACCGCGTGGTGTTTTTGCTGTCGATTCCCCATTTATTTTCCTTTCTTCGCGTGGAAAATAAACAAATCCTGCCAAGATGAGTCTGTACAACTTCAAAAAGATTATGGTGGTTCCGCCAGCAAAGGTAAGCATCTACAGGGGCATTCACTCAGCGGAGCACCCCTTGGAGCCACCAACATAACCTCACCGAAGGTGTTTACCAAATACGCAATATGTAAATAATGGTGTTGTTCTTCTCCCTCCTCCACAGGACTTTATCGACATTATGCTGTCGAAGACACAGCGTAAGACCCCGACAGTGGTCCACAAGGGCTACAAGATATCCAGAATTCGGGCGTTTTACACTCGCAAAGTGAAGTACACGCAGCAGAACTTCCACGATCGTTTGTCTCAGATTATTCAGGATTTCCCTAAGTTGGATGATGTCCATCCGTTCTATGCCGATTTGATGAATGTGCTGTACGACAAGGATCATTACAAACTGGCGTTGGGTCAGCTGAATACAGCCAGGCATTTGGTGGACAAGTGAGTGCCAAATAAAACCTTAAAAACAATGTTCCCTTATTAATATTTATTCCCTCTCCTTATCCTAGTGTGGCCAAGGACTACGTTCGACTACTCAAATACGGAGATTCCCTGTACCGCTGCAAACAGCTGAAGAAAGCTGCCCTGGGTCGCATGGCCACCATTATGAAGCGACAGGCCTCCAACCTCACCTATCTAGAGCAAGTGCGTCAGCATCTCTCACGTCTGCCGACCATTGATCCCTACTCCCGTACCATCATCATCTGCGGCTTCCCCAATGTGGGCAAATCGTCGTTCATCAACAAGATCACCCGTGCAGATGTGGAAGTACAGCCTTATGCCTTCACCACCAAATCCCTGTATGTGGGTCACACAGACTACAAATACCTGCGTTGGCAGGTGATTGACACTCCCGGAATTCTCGACCATCCTCTGGAAGAACGTAACGTGATCGAAATGCAGGCCATCACTGCCTTGGCTCATCTGCGGGCCTGTGTCTTGTACTTCATGGACATCTCCGAGCAGTGCGGACACTCCTTGGAGGAACAGGTCAAGCTGTTCGAGAGCATCAAGCCTTTGTTCACCAACAAGCCTCTGATTCTGGCCATCAACAAAATCGATATCTTAACACCTGAGGATTTGCCAGCCGAGCGAAGAGAGATTATTACAAAGTTGCAAGAGGACAAGAACATCCCTGTGATGCTCATGTCTACCGTACAGGAAACCGGTGTCATGGAGGTGAAAACTGAGGCCTGCGAGCGTCTGCTGTCTTACCGTGTGGACCAGAAGATGCGTACAAAGAAGGTGGACAACATCTTGAACCGTCTGCATGTGGCTATGCCAGCGCCTCGAGATGATAAGCTTCGTTCACCCTGCATCCCAGAAAAGGCTTCGGCCCGCCTTCAACAGAATGCCGAGAAGGCAGAGCGCAAACGGAAGCTGGAGAAGGAAATCGAAGAGGAGATGGGCGACGATTACACACTGGACCTCAAGAAGAACTACAGCGAAATTCCCGAGGAGGAGCGTTACGATGTTATTCCAGAGTTCTGGCAGGGACACAACATTGCCGACTACATCGATGCCGACATCTTCGACAAGCTGGAGGAGCTGGAGCGCGAGGAGGGTCTGCGAGAGGAGAGTGGAATCTATACAGTTCCCGATATGTCCATGGACGAGACGCTCAAGGAGATCCGCGAGATGGCCAAGCAAATCCGAGGCAAGCGCTTCGAGCTGCGCGACGAAAAGCGACTGTCATCGCGAAAGAACAAGCCGGTCATCCCACGAAACAAGCAGCCCAAGGTGCGCGACCGTTCCGTACAAAAGCTGGTATCCACGATGGAGGGTCTGGGTGTGGATATGTCTGGCAGCGAAAATGCCAACTTCACCAAATCCGTGGTGGATCTGCGTCGAGGCCAGGTGGCCGTTGGATCCAAGAAGAAGGTCCCTCTGCAGCCGCTATTGGACAAGGAGTCCTCTGCAGTGGTCAGAAAGACTGGTCTGCCACTGAAGCGTGCACCGTCGCGCGACTCCCTCGGTATCAAGAACTTGGCTATCCGCAAGAAGGCCCAGATTATGGCCAAGCGGGATATTGCGAAGAAGGTCACAAGCAGGGGTCTCAAGGGAGAGGCGGATCGCTTCATCGGTACCAAGATGCCGAAGCATTTGTATTCCGGCAAGCGCGGAAATGGCAAGACGGATCGTCGTTAAGTGCCGCAGCCTTGGCTGGTTAAGTGATTCTACCTGGTGGGTTTGCCCCGCTCCTCTGTATAAACTAAGCGATGTATCTTTATATGCCCAACTAACATATTTAAATACAAGATTGTATTTTTACAAAACAAAACAATTTGTAGTTTACTATTTTACATTTTGCTTTATTTAATCTAGCAACTAATAAAACCAAATGAAAATGTTCTTACTTTTGGAAAAGTTTATATAAAGGATGTTCCGCATTTGGTGGTGTTAAGCAAAAAACAAAGTTTACCCCTATTGATATTTGTTCCTTCCTTGCTTCACCTTGGCAACGAAGAAGTTTGTTTGGTTTTCACCAATTTTCTTGGCCAGTGGGTAAAAGTTTTTCGATGCAGCAGCATGTCCAAAGCAACCACAATTAAGGAGGCACTGAAGCGCTGGGAGGAACGGGAGCAGCAAAATTCCCTAACTGCCAAGAACATTGATCTGCAATTCCAGTGGCCGCCCATCGAGAAAATGGACAGCACATTGGGCACTTTGGTGCAGTGCGAGTGAGTTTGGAAAAGTTTTTAATTCTTTTCGAAGGACTTACCAATTTACTCTGTCTCTTCAGGAGAATCAGTATGTCCACTAATATGATAGAGAAGATATTTGGTTTGTCGGGGATGAAGTGCCTGAAGGTACTGTCTCTATCAAGAAACTATATTAAACAGATTTCCGGTTTGGTAATGAATGCTTAGGAAGGTATCCTTTGGATTTTATATGTTATATGACTTTCTAGGAGGCTGTAGCTGAAACCTTGGAGGAGCTGTGGCTCAGCTATAATCTCATAGAGAAAATTAAAGGCTTGACAGGACTCAAATGCCTGAAGGTGCTTTACATCAGCAATAATTTGATCAAGGACTGGTCGGAGTTTAATCGTTTGGCGGAAATCGAGTCACTTGAAGACCTAGTTGTGGTGGGTAATCCTCTGTCTGAAGGATTAGATGAACCTTCTTGGCGGGCGGAATGCATTAAAAGGTTGCCCACCATCCGCAAGCTAGATGGAGAACCAGTAGTGCTCAATGAGGAGCCTACGCTTTAATGGTATTAAGTTAAAAAAAAGTTTGCTTATAGGTATGTCGTGGAAATTTCTATAGAACGAAACTCTGTATAGAATGACCCTTAAATAAATAACAAAAAATAAACCCATTCATGCTTTATAACTTTTTTTAAAGCTAATTTTGGCTTAGTTAATTTAATAATTTAGGTATATGTTTAATAACTTTAATTTATCTCAGTGTCTGTTGATGGATGTGTTAATATTTAACAGCAAAGTTGGCCGAGAGCTGCGTCAAATGGCAGGTCCTGTGTTTTGGCCACTGCAGTGTAACTGACCTATTGGCCAACTTTTGTACGAAGCGCTGTTAACGCTCTGTTAGCCGGGCTCTCAAGGCTCTTGGCGCACATGCTGCCGCATTGCTGTTGATATTTTCCATTTGATGTTGGTGTTAAAATTAAATGTTAAATTCCCCGCCCACTCACTTTCGATTTCAGTCGCAGTTCGAGGCCCAAAGCGTTCGCAGCTGTTGCGGCGAGATTGCTGGAAATTGGCGTATATATATTAATAACGTGCTAGTCGGGCATCGAATTAAATGTGGCTTAGGATCGTCTGAAGTTTTTGTCCCCCAACCCCAAAGAAAGTAATATGCCAAATTAAATGGCGCGTGCTCTTGAAATGAAACACAAAACAAAGAGCATGTAAATGTAGATGTATTCCCAGGATACTTTAGGCCCGCTATTAGCCAACTTATGTGTATAAATGTATATGTGTTTTTACGCACACTGCAGGAGCAAACACAACAACAACAGTTTTTTTGGAGGCTGCGCGGGTCGGCCATTTTTGGTAGGCTTCGCATATTTTTTTCTGCCTAAATTTTTCGGCAACATGTGTTCCTCTTTGTGTGTATTTAATGTAAAATTTCCTTATAGTTCGGGCTTTAAAATAAACGCATAAAACTAGGAGGCCAGGAGGGCCAGAAGAAGAGTGCTCACCTATAATAACACACCGAAACGCTTAGCATAAAGTAAGAGTTTTTCGCTTGGGCAGCGGAAGCAGAACCATAAAATGTGCTCTCCACAAACAAAACATACGAAACACGGCGAGAAAAGAGTAATTCTTTCATATGTTGCACTTTAATATATAATTTGTAAAAACTTGGCAACTATTGCTAGTGTACTAATATGTCTATTAGATATTTGTTAGTCCCTTTCTGCTGTAAATAAGATAAAAACAATACATTTTCCACTGAAAAATTACTCATACGCCATGTAGGCTTAAACGTAAAGTATAATGAACTGTAATAATGACCTTGTAAATTTAGTTACAAGTTTGCCAAGAATTTTAATCGTTTCCAGTTAATACTTTTTCAATGTGTACGCAGGAAAACTACAGACTACTTAGCAGGATGGCTCGTAAACAGAGTGCGCCTAACCGCCCACTAACACCCATACCCCACCCACACACATGCGTAGAGAGGCAGGAACACAGTTGTGATAGAAAACAGATGCTTGAAATATGCAACAGCGTATAAACAAGAGACTAAGGCTAGCCAGATTGACCAAGTGCGATGCAGGTGTCTCTGTTATTAGCACTGACCTATAGTGTTAGCTTAACAGTCGCTGTTAATCGCGGCAGCAGAGAGCCGAGCCGATGCCAAGGGTAATTCAGTGCTGGGCGAGATTTCCATCTGTGGACACGTCGTTGTCGGTCGGTCAGCGGTGGCTTTTCCCGTGCGATACCACAAGAATACAAAAAAAGAGAAATAACCAACGTGAAAAAAAGACAAACGTGTTGGTGTGAGTGCTCGTGTGTGTGTGTTTGTGTTGGTTAGCTCATAAAAGATTCAACAGCCTGCCGAGCTAAAAAATAAATAAAAAGATAACAACGTGTGTTAAACAAAAAAAAAAAAAGAGAAAAAAGAAAAATTATACATAAATAGCCAAGGAGAAACAGGAAAAAGTAATGCTAGAAAGTGTTAAATAAAACAAAAAGAAAATAAGGTGAGAGGCCAGAGCATCAATAAAAAGAATACGTAGCAGTCTAAAATTAAATAAAAACAATCAAATTTCGGATGAATCGAAAATTAACAACATAAAATTCGACAAGAGCTGTAAAAAAAGGAGCTTTTCGTCCCATCTCTTTCTCACCCGCTTTCTTTCCTTGGAGTAGTCCCCGAATGTAACGGTAATAAGCAAGCGTGTTTCGGGCTTCAGCATCTCTGTGTCAGTGTCTGTGTGTGTGCGTGTGGAGTTCTGCGGCTCCTTCTGTCTCCATCGCTCTTTCTCCACTTTCTACCGCCTCATCTTTTTCGTTTGTTTGCTGCGAGACATTTATTTGCTCTTTAACGTTTCAGCAGGACCAGGCCTGTTTCGTTCCGGCATTCTTTCTTCCATTCTCGTTCTCGCCCTCCGCTCTTTTCGTTCCCTTCATTCCAGTCTTCTCTGCTCCTCTTCCGTCCCCACTTCATCCTCCACCCTCCTCTGCCCTGCGTCCCGCTCGCACTTTTGGGCACTGGCATGCCGCAAAACAGTTAGTCCAACACTCGAGTCGCCCCATCCGTGTGTCTGCATGCCTGTGTTGGTGGTTGTGTATGTAGAGCGAATGAGAAAAAAAAAATACAGCACATCTTCATATGTCGGAAACTCCTAATGGAATTATAACAAATTTGAGTTTTAAAAGATTAAAAAAAAATGGAAATTGGTATACCTATTTTATTTTGTACAGCATTTTTATAAAATGGTTGCAATTATCTACCATTAGTATACGCTTGCTCATAAAATACCTTTCAATTGGATCTTAAAAAGCTATAATTTTTTATGTAGAAATTCTAAGAAAAACTTAAGTATCTTGAACTTCAAAGGTTCAAATTAGGGTTGTTGTACTGTTATACAAATTCGCCCACACAGACTGAGAGTGTACATGTACATTCAACAATTTGCTGGCTCCCTATGCCTGGTGATTTTATTTTATTTTTTTCGTCCTTTACGCCCACCACTTGCCGTGATGCGATGCTGGGAGCCAACGTCAACAAGTTGAAGCTGTTGCCGCTGCCCAGCTAGCCTCGTTAGTACGAGTTGTAAGAGCGGCGTGTGCTTGTGTGTGTTTGTGTGCGTGAGGGGCGCCCAGAAGTATGCCGCAGATAAGGATAAATCATAAGCTGGCCAAGCCCACTAAGTTCATTTTGATGTTGCAAAGTGACGAGAATCGATGCCAATGTCATTTGCTAATTGAAAAATTTCTTGCCTCGCTGGGACAACATTAACCCTTCTACACAATTAGCCATTTATCTTGGCCCATGAGATATGTATCTTAATTAAAATGAATGCACAATTAATTGTCAGACAACAGGCCAAAACTATAAACAAAGCCATGTGTGTGCGTACGATGAGGCATATATAAACAGAGTTTTGTAAGCAGCACAAACAGCAGAAATTGTTAGTCTTTGAAGTGAAATTTGATTAAGGTGTTTATACAAGAGAGGGAATACAAAATTCAGAGGTAGAGAGCACGAGAAGAGAATGGGGCCAAGAGCTTATACTTATATTTTCCCATCGATTCCCATTCGACCGAGTTGCCATGATTTTGGCCTCAATTTTGTCCCCTGGCTACCCAAAAGAAATATATATATATATTTTTGAGGATGGAAGGAAAAATTGAGATTAAAAGGAATTAGAGGGATAAAAATAAATAAAGAAATCTGGGAAATGGTAAATTTATTTTTTCCTTTGTGGGCGGTATTTCACGCATTTTTAATTTTGCTTATTGAGCCAAGCTAAGCGACTTAAGGAGGGCGGCACTTTATCAAAGCTGACCAACCCTTCCAAACTTTGTCACAATATATCGCTATCTGAAGCTGACACATCATTAAAACTTTTAGCAGCAGATGCTAAAGTGCAGATTACCCAATATGAACATTAAGTATCTGTATGTATGTATGTAGGGGAGCAATTTAACAAATCTTTTGGGCTATAGCCTTTTTTCGGAACTTCACTGGTTTTCCTTTTTTGACATCAGCTTTGGAACATCAATCTTTGGGATATATCTAGAAAGTGATTGGAAGCCAACATGTCGTATGGGCAATATGACAAAAAACTTGAAACTCTTGGCGATGATGCCTAAGCTTTTGGCTCGTTCATTATAAGCTGTTTTCTGTTCTTTTTGTTGGCCACATTTTTTTTTGTTGTTTTTCATGTTGAATCTTTTTTCCCTTCAGCTGAATGTGTGGTGTGTACGGGTGTGTGCGTGATGGGTGTGTGATGTGTATGCATGTGACATGTCTGACGTCTCATTTTCTGCCATATAAACCCGATGCTGGATTTTTTGCCTTAATTTGGCATTAGGGCGTTTCAATGGAAACTCATTTGAAACTTTCTTTCGCAAATCTGTGCATAGGCTTCCTGTGCACCCAAAAAATAATATCCACAAAAAAAGAACGTAATATTTATATGCGCATATTTGTGCGATTGTGTGTGTGTTTCTGCGCCTGACCGAGCACTGCCTCAATATTATTTCTTTTTTTTTCGGCCCGGCTCTGCCGTATGAGAATACAGCAGATGTTTGCCCAGGCTGGTGGAATGTATATACGGTTGTATATATGTATTTGGTAGCATACTGTTGTGTTGGCGGGATAAATAATACATATAAATCAGTATATGGCTTACTCGTATTGGCCAAAACTTCTCTTACACAGGAACAATGCCGAACGGAATCCCTCTAATCATCAATATACTAAATATTTATATATATATATATATATATATGTATTTTCGCGATGCCATATATCAAGTGTATTCAAGCCTTTGGGCGATATTAAATATACTAAACCAGCCTTGCACATCTCCCAGCTGACCGATTTTTGAACAATAAATCGGCATTGACATTTTGATCCACATTTTACATACGCACTTGTCGTGCCTAATTGATGAGCTCGGTGGATACCTTATGCAGGATATTCTGGCCATAAATCATGAGCAAATCATTGCATATTCAATGCAAATTGCGGCAGGCTAATAAATCGCATGACCTCTATTGATCTTTCCTCTCGGCTACAAATGTATATGCAAAAATTATAAAAAAAAAATTAAAATTCTAGTCAGAGAAATGAACAGCAAATTGTGCCGTATTGAATTAGCCAGTAATTCTGTGGCTAGAATGCGGTTTTGCGGGTTGGCCTTGGCCAACTGGCTGCCTCTTGTCTTCGGCAACTATTTTCCGTAATTCCATTTGCTCCGAGCAGGTTGGCAGACAAAATGCAATTAGCATTAACAAGGATGGCAGCCAACAGCTACGAAACCCTTGAAGCCAACCCTTGCAGCTGAATAGCAAAAAAAAAAATAAGGCAAAAAACCATTTTAGCCACATTTTAAGCAAACGTTTACTCAAACAGAGGACCGCAACGAGTAGCATTGGAATGCTGAGAACTAACACGATTTAAATTTCGCTTTAAAGAGCGCTCGATATTTGAACAGCCCGGTTAGGGGGAAATTCCAATTAAACTAAATCAACATCAGCATTTACAGTTGATAAAGTCAAACACAAACGGAACAAAACGAGGGAGATTCTAGTGAATATGAAATGCAATATCTTTACCAGCACCTATTCAATGTAATTGAAAGTTCAAAGGATAGTTTGTGTAAGTGGTCTAGATAAACAAGTTATTCGATTAAATTAAATAACTTAAAATGAGTAATTGTTATACCTTAATTATTAAATAAAGCCAAAATCTATTAAGTTGACTTCAACTTCTATAAAAGTTTAAATTTTCCACAGCCAGTCACTAAAGATAATTAATGGTTGAAATTAGTACGAAAGTTTTTGGTACAATGAGAAAAGTACAACAAGATTCCTCGAGAACTAAACTTTAATAAATTGTTAAAGTTTCGCCTAGCTTAATAAATATTTTTGCTCCTAGCTTAACAGGGATATTCCAAGGATAAGGCCAGGCTCTATTTGAGGCTGTGCTGAAATTAAAATGAACTATTTTGACTTGACCCACTTTCAGCTGGTCCGTCTTAGGCACTTAGTGTGCCAGTCTGAAACCTCAGCAAAAGCGACCAAGTCGTCTGACAGAATTTCGAAATTAAGGATTCACAAAGCTGAGCCAAAGAATTTTTCTAGTCGAAATGGGGGAAAAGATTCTTAAAGATATTTAACAGGTCACCGAATTTAAGACAGCTGGGGAATGCAACTGTTGCACAAGCGGACCTGTGAAGTAATTGTTGAGCACCTGTAAGTGCCTGCAGCTTATGCATATTTGTATGTGCAACTGGCTCTCCAAGTGCCCCACAAATGTTGCTCATACGCCGCCTGGTACGGCCAACAATTTCCCCATGCCAGCTAGGGCGAAGAGACAACAAACCACAAATTGACATAGCTGCGTTAAAGCGAGTGTGGGGATGGTTTAGGGGGTAGGGAATACACTGTGAGAAATGTGGAAATTTAGATTTATTTGAAGAGTGAGTGGCCAAAATAACTTTATAGAAACTTTAAGTTTTACCATTAACAGTTAGCAGAACTAAAATATGGAACTATATGTATTAAGTATTATATTCTTTTTGATACTTACCCAGAGTAGCTGAGAAAATCTCTTCCATACAAAAATGACTTCTACAGATGTTTGGCTTCCTGTTAAAAAAATTCGATGCATACTTTCAGGCAACTATACAATTTTTATTTAAATCTCTTGAGATTTCTGTGGGTAAAAGTAAAAAATTTCTTGAATATTTCACCTTTTTTACGTTAAAATATTCGGAATTAAAAAAAGAAAACATTTTTGTGTTTTGACGTGTGAAAAAAGTGTGTGGCAAGAACATGACATTGACTAACGTGCAACGTGGCAGCAGGAACTCACACATACGCACACGAAAACGCACACACACACATATACATTCACGCCCAAGCATGCAGACACATGCAAGCCAACAATTTGTGGCGGTGAAATTTAACACGAACAATTTAATTTCAATAAAAACGCACACAGCCAGCGCAACAACAATAACAATGCGAACGCAAAGACAAAAGGATTGCTCATACGACATGTGTTCAGTCTGTCTGAATGTGTGAATGCCTGTGTGTGTGTGTGTGTGTGTTTGATGTTTGGTGTACTTGTGTGGGTGGGAAACATGCATAAATGCAATTTAATTTAATTGCTCGAACTTTTTCCACCTGGGGATTCTGATGTTGAT